ATCTATCTATCTATCTATCTATCTATCTATCTATCTATCTATCTATCATCTATGGATTAAGTTGAGAGCAACTGTTTTTCAGGACAGAGATGTCAGTTACATAAATAGCCAACTTCAATGCCAAAAAGTGCAGGATAATATTTTCTTCTATCAGTACTGGTGAAGATGGGAGAAAGAAGTATCATAAGTGAATTAGATATAATAGCAATATATTATAAAAAGGGACATAAAGAGGGAAATGCAATTCTTGTTGACAAAGGATAATCAGTTTTGGTGGCATCTTCCTAACATGCATTAAAGATTGTTATGCTAACTATGCTAGGGAATATGTCAGAGAGCCTTAAGCTAAGTATGGCTTAGAATCTAATTGAGACATGCTGAATCAAGATCCCAGGAAGTTCTGCCAAGTTCTTTCCTATTGAGTTTAACATGCATGAATACTATGCATGCTGATTATGCTATTCTCTTGTGGATAAGCTCCATTGTGCAAAGCATAGAAAAGGAGCAAGAAATAATATGAGATGAAGAAATGGAAATATAGGTAAATCTAGTTTATAATCACACCATTCACTCATGTCCTATTATTCTTAATAATAATTAAATTTATGCACCATCTGAATCCCAATGATTCTGGGCAGTTATTGTCCAGAAACATCTTTGTTTTTATCTTATCTATGCATTTTTCCCTTCATTCACTGTTCCTTCATGTATCTGTTTTGTAATGTAATTGATTGTCTTTTTGTCTATAAAGCTGTCTCAGCATACTCTTTTTGTATTGGTCATTCATTTTTGTTTTGAATTTACATTCATTTAGGTTTTGACACTTATCTCTTGTTTTATCAAAAATACAGGTAGTCTTTGACTTACAACCAATTGTTGAACATCAAAAAATGTCCATTTGGGAGAATGGATTTGGACTTATGACTGCAAGATTTGCTTAACAACTGCTGTAAAAATGGTGGAAAAAGATGGGCCTGGTCATGTGGTGCCTTGATTTAATGACCACAATGACTTATGACTAAAATTCTGGTCCCTATTGTGGTTGTAAGTTGAGGACTAACTGTATTTCTTAAAATAACCCACTCCTACTACATTGTTGATTTTTATATGCCTCCTGAGATAACCAATTTATTGTAACTTCCAATAGATAATATAACAACAATCTATTCTGTGTGTCAGAATTTCAGCTATTTGAAAACATATCTCCTCAGTTATCTTTTCTATGGGCTAAATATACCTATTCTTCATAAGGCTTAATTTCCAGATCCCTTATCATCTTAGTAATCCTCTTCTAAAGCTGTTTCATTTTATCCTCATGCTTTATAATGCTAGCCAGATCTGGACACAATTGCTCAGTAGGGTCCACCAGGACAAAATAGAGTGGAAAACCTACCCACTTTATCATATGCTTTATAAAATTAACAATAAACGTTTTCAGAATCACTTGTCAATTATTTGGGAAGAACAAAAATCTGAACAGCATTCTCCCTGCCCAAAGGGTGGGAGGAGCATAATCCTTTTCCTGTTGTAGTTTTTTAATCTGAATTTTGCCAAACATCACCCTAGACCAGGGGTGTCAAAGTCGCATCATCACGGTGTCATCATGTGATGTATCGGGACTTTCCCCCCCTTCGCTAAACTGGGTGGGGGGCGGGGCCAGCACTTGACGCATCCAGCACATGGGGTGTGAGATTGACACTCCTGCCCTAGACACATTTAACAAAGTAGTTCCTATGTAGCTTTTGCAACTATTTTTCCTTTTTATTGGTGAATAACAAGAGCATTATTTAAAATATCAATTTATAGACTAATCTTAAATCACACAACCATGTGACTTGTTTAAGATTAATCATACCCATATTTCAACATATTTCCAGTCAACATTTTCTTAAACTAATCTGCTTAAGTTTAGCGCTTATTATTGAAATGATGTTTGTATATAAATATGGTAGCATACAGAAATTCTTTGGACAATTTTTGGGAAGCTAGTAGGGGTTGAGGGTATTCTACAATTATTTCTTAATTTATATTGAATAGTATTACAATCAGTTATTAACAGGATATTATCTGGTGATTGTATGGTCTAAATGCTGCTCTGCAGAACCTAGCAATATTATATGTTGTAGCCGGGCTAGTATTTGAAAGCAGCAGGGAGGTGTAGAATTGTCCTGTGCACTCTAGGCATTTTACTTATTTATTTATAAAATCTATGCAGTGATTATGAGATGAGGCTAATATGAATGTCTTTGGAATGCAGGTACTGGAGAAGCAGATGCTCTGTTGTTTTTTGTGTGTCTAGCCTTAGGGTCATTATCTCTCTAGTCAGGGATAACTGAGAAAAGAGCATGCCATGTGTCAAACTAACAACCCTTTGGTGTTTAGGGTGCTTCAAGATTATTTAATTATGTCTTTGGGAAGACAGAGTTGGGCTGTTGGAGTCATTGGCAATAAAGGTTATGGACCTGGATATATCTAGTTGGTGTTCTGTGTTAGCTACATGCTATTTAATGAGTGCTTTGGCCTGATTATATCCCTTACTGACAAGAAGACCTGGAGACAAACCCAAAGATGAGATTTTAGTTGCCATTATCTTTTTCCTACAACAAGTCATGTTTTAATTATAGTATGTTGTTCTAAGCAGACATAATAAGCCAAAAAGCTAATTCAAATATGGCTCGGCTGAGAACTTCTCAGGCTTGTCTTCCCTGTTCCAAAGTTGTCTTGCCTCATAGATTAATTTATTTAGTCTATGAGCAAGTGTAGGTCTGGTGTGAGTATTTTATTGTGTTGCTAGTTTTAAATCAAAGAACCAGTCATTTAATATTTGACAAAACTTGTAGGTAGGAATTTTAAATATAAAGGTGACCGCTGAAAGCACCTTGTTCCACTAATAAAACTATTTAAATCAAAGCAATTCACAATGCAAAGTTACTTGTGTGAGATGGGCTGCTATATAAATTAGATGGATGGATGTAAGGTTATGGGTATACTAGTGTTCACTAATAGCCCCCTTTGTGTGTGTTTGTGCGAGTATGTGTATTCCTTAGAATTGAAGACACATTTAAAATCATTTACATGGCTAGAAAAGAGGGAAAGAGCGTAATGTCACTTTGTATTTCATCTTGGCTATTTTTTTGTAACTATTTTACAGAAACTGTTTTATAATAACTTGAAAATAAATAATAGGGATAAATCTTCAGGTGATAAATGCTCTCTACTATTGCTTTATGGTACATTTTGTCAGTCAAGATTCAAACAATTAAATTCAAGCAAGTGCCTGGTACTCGCCAAATACAATCTTTCCCCTTGAAGAATTGAACTGTATGCTATAATCAAAACTTCATTTATCTCCATTTCAAAAGCAGCTTTTTGAAGAAAGCCAGGGATCAAACTAGAATAGAATTGTTCTTTTCCATCCAATGAACAGTCAAGTCACATGAGAATGTTTGATTTCTTATGAAGTTGGAAAGTAGAAATAATTAGATCTGTAATAAATGGCAAAATCAGGCCCAGTTTTAACATATTTATATTTACTACTGAAAACATATCCAGTTTTATATGATTGAACCTGACTTTTCATCTGTCTTTTCTAGATTCAGTACTTCACGACAAACACTAATGTGGATCCCTGACTCCTTTTTTTCCAGGTATTTTGCCATTTACTTAATTATATCATTTTTACTTGAAAGAAGCTTCAATGAGACTAACTCCTTGTTAAATGGGAAATCCTAATAGTTTATGTCAATAGGTTTGGGTTTTTGTTTCTGTCTTAAATTGGGAAACTTTATTATTGAATTTTGTCTTGTAACAAAAAATCCCAAGCAACCCGGCTCCCTTTCTTATTGTGTCTTCTGTAGTAAAAACAAGAGTTAATAATTTGAGGGAACATTGCTGTCTTGTGGATTATGTAAAATGCAAATAATTTATGTCTGATGTCTTTGTAATGAAATTTTTAACAGCAGTCTCTTATTTTTGATTTTTCTAGCTTTACTACCGTATTTAGACCAAAATTTTCTGGGATAGCTTTTAGCCTTTTTTGTGTTATTGATTATCTTTTGATTTATAATATAAATTCTGAACTGAAATAGCTGGTATACATTTTATTATATTATCGAAGAATCTATTGCTCTGTTCTTTGTATAGCAAATTGAGGATTACATTTTGTGACTGATATTTATAGACAAAATTTGAACAGGATGCTACCTAGTTAACTGCGTTAGTAATACCCTAATGGCTGCAGTTTTTCTGAAGTCAATATTTTCAGTGCAGGGGGGAGAGGATATGGAACTCCTTTCTCATAACACTGTTCCATCTCAGTTTACTTTTCCTGCCATGAGATTCCAGTTATGTATTATGAATAGAAATGTCTAGAAATACAGCTGCCTTTCTGTTTCCGTCGCTTCAGATGTATTCACTACCTATCTCTTCCATAATGAAATGTCTGAGGGCTTAACCCAGGGGTCTTCAAACTTGACAGCTTTAAGTCTTGTAGACTTCAACTTCCACAATTCCTCCTCCAGTCATGTTAGCTCAGGAATTTTGGGAGTTGAAGTCCACAGGTCTTAAACTTGCCAAGTTTGAAGACCCTTGGCTGAACCTCTTACTCCCATAGTATGGTGATTGGAACAATCCACTCAGAAATGAGTGAAAAAGTACTTCCAAACCCTAATCCTTGCAGACCAAATAAAAGTATATTTTGGATGATGATAGCCTGCTGCCAAGAGATTTAGCAGGACTATGGAGTTGGTCTTACTCTCCATTTAGTCATCAACAAGAGCAACCAGTGAGGAGTTTCTGTCCCATGCTCAGGGCTTCACATTTCTTCTTTCAGAGCCCTGTGCATCTGCCACTCCATAATCTACCATAAAAGCTTGGAGACTGTAATAGTCTCCAAGTAATAGTAGTTAAAAAGTTTTAGGTAGATCCTGGATTAGCTTCTTACAAACGGGGTACACCAAGGGCCTTCTTTAGTTTTTTGTTTTTATCAATCATGCTCTTTGCTGTGAAGAGTGATTGGAATAAGGAGGACAATGTAAAAAAAGGTTCTTTAGTATTTTATAATTCTTTCCTAACCTTATTTTTGTATAATCATTGCAGAAATCTGAGCTGTAAAAACATTACAGGTAGTCCTCGACTTACAACAGTTCACTTAGTGACTGTTTGAAGTTACAATGGCACTGAAAAAAGTGAGTTATGACCATTTTTCACACTTATGATAGTTTCAGCATCCCCATGGTCCTGTGATTTACATTTGGATGCTTGAAAACTGACTCACATTTATGACAATCGCAATGTCCCTGGGTCATGTGTTTACCCTTTGCAACCTTCTGACAAGCAAAGTCGGTTGGGAAACCAGATTCACTTAACAACCGGGTTACTAACTTTACAACTGCGGCAAGAAAAATTGTAAAATGAGCCAAAGCTCACTTAACGAATGTCCCACTTAGCAACATAAATTTTGGGCTCAATTGTGGTTGTAAGTGGAGGACTACCTGTACTCTCTTGAAAAATGTAGTTCTATCATGGCCTGTGCTGTTGAAACCTGAAACAAGAAAATGTACATGTGTGCATATATTTGTAGAATGGACTTTTTTTTCTATACTTGGAGAAAGTTACTCAACTACTCCTACTATGCAATACTCTTTATTCTTGGCAAATTTGTTTTGATTGGCTATGGGAATAATATGGGACACAATTTAGGTGTGATGTGGATGAAATTATAGTTGGCAGAAATCACTTCTCCTTTATGGGAGCTAATTTGCAGTCCAAAACATTTAGCAACAGAAACAGAGTTGGAAGGGACCTCGCAGGTCATCTAGTCCAACCCCGCTCATGCAGGAGCCCTATATATTTCTGGCAAATGACTGTCTAGTCTCTTCTTAAAAGTCTTTGGTGATGGGGCACCCATAGCTTTTGAAGGCAATTTGTTCCACTGGTTGATTGTTCTCGTTGTTAGAAGTTTTCTCCTTAATTCCAGGTTGCTTCTCTTCTTAATTAGTTTCCATCCATTGTTTCTTGTCTTGTCTTCAGGTGCTTTGATAAATAAGTTGGCTTCCTCTTCCCTGAGGCAGCCCTTCAAGTATTGGAAGACTGCTATCTTATTACCCTTGGTCCTTCTTGTCACTAGACTAGGTATACCCAGTTCCTGCAATTGTTCTTCGTATGTTACAGCTTCTAGACCCTGTGTTGCTCTTCTCTGAACATTTATTTGGTTCATATTTTTTCTGTCTCTTACACAAATTGGATTGTAATTTAGATTTGTTGATTTCAGTTTGTTGAGTGGAAGAATTTCAACACTGAAAGACGAAACTGGTGCTGTGAGTATTTTGCTTTTTAATCATGTTATAATGTAAAAATTGATTAGATTTTTCTGGTAAAATTATAGAAGTCAGAATAATTCATGTAAGCTTAACTGAATACATACAAACATGTTATAACTGTAAGTCAGTATAAGATAAAGTACTGTAGGAAGTTGACTTGTAATAATGCTTCAGAGAGAGAGTTTAAATCTGGCATTTGGGGTGAAACCTATTATTGAAACAGCATGTTTTAAATCTGAATACTGTAGATTCTAGCAACTATTTGACAAGCTCAAAATTCCAAAAATTGAAATTTTAATGCATGTTTATCTTACACCCACTGAAAAAATATTATTTAGCATGTATAATTATGACAGGATTACTTCCCTGATTTAAAATGTCCTTGCAGGCAAATAACTATCTATTTCTTCTTTGTAGATATTTATTGATAGAGATCCTGCAGCATTTGCACCAATTTTAAATTTTCTTCGTACAAAGGAATTAGATCTGAGGTAAGTTAGATTTTTATATGAAACTGTTTCAGGAGGAAAATAATCAAAATAGTGTTAAGAATACTTAAAATTGGTTTTAAAAATCTGGTTCTTGTGTGTAAATGTGCATGATAGAGTACTGTTTCATTGGTTACACAAAGAATCTATTTTCCCAAATCACATTCAGAATTTGTAAGGAAATATTTGGGTTCTAACATATATTTTTAATTCTTAAACTTTTTAATGAAAAGGCTTAACCTATTCATGCTTAAATCTTTAACTCCAATTGTTTTTACATGATCTGCCTCTATCAGAAATTCTGTGATTTAATCTAGGAATGGAAGTCTCACAAAGGGCCGCTCTATAATATTTAAGGCTGTATCCTGAAAAGTTTCAGCTCTGAGCATTCCTGTAGCCTTGATGAAGCCAAAGAAGCCTTTATCTTATATATCTATCTTAAATCACCTTCATTCTACTTTATACTTCCTGGCTCTGAGCTTTTGGATTAGATCCTTGGCACAAGTCACATCTTTTTTTAAAAGATGGTCTTAGCAGTTTAAGAGTTAGTTTGAATTAATATCCTTTCAATTTTAATATTTCTACAGTTCCATATATTTATGTATGTTGCTAAATTTGCTGCTATAATACATGAGCCTAACAATATTAATTCATGGGTTGGAAAATTACATTTAATTTTCAAATAGTACTTTTACTCTATTTTCTTTGTTTTGCAGAGGAGTAAGTATCAATGTACTCAGACACGAAGCAGAATTTTATGGAATCACACCGTTAGGTAAATATATATATGTATATATATATTTGATTCATTAGCAACTAGTTTAATTACAGGTAGTCCTCAGCGGCACTGAAAAGGGGACTTATGACCATTTTTCACACTTATGACCATTGCAGCATCCCTATCACATGAATAAAATCCAGATGCCTGGCAACTGACTCATATTTATGACGGTTGTAGCACCCCAGGGTCATGTGATCACCTTTTGTGATCACATGTGATCACCTTCTGACAAGCAAAGTCAATGGGGAAATCAGATTCACTTAACTGCATTATTAATTTAAAAAATTGCAGTAATTCACTGAAGAAATGTGTTAAGAAAAGTTGTAAAATACGGCAAAACTCACTTAACAAATTTCTCACTTAACAACATGCATTTTGGGCTCAATTGTCGTAAGTTGAGGATTACCTGTATTTTTTTCATGAATGATAGGAAATCAGAATGGCAATTGAAACATATATTTAATAATGTACTGAGATGAAAGTAGCCAGCCAAAGAATTTTTTTTAACTGAAAAATACCGAGATACCTGAGCGAAATGTGTTCTGTTTCTTGGTCAGCATTAAACTGTAGCCACACAGTTCCTTCTGGAACTCATCATTTCATTTCCAGAAGCCATTTGTAAGAAATGATGCATCATCCTAGAATAGCTGCCAGCAGTAACCATTTTTCCCCTCTTCTATGATTTTCATCTTCAAGAGTGGAGCATATACTAGGCCACACAACGGCATTTTGTGCTTATTGTTGTTTTACAAGAGAGATACTTAGTTCTTCATAAATATTAGTGGCTTTCTTCATGCACCAGAATTTATTTCTTGTGGATTTTTTTCCTTTTGCTGTCTGGGTTTATAACATTTCTGCTTGATATAATTGGTTGTGTAAAGCACATTGGGTCACTTGAAAACCAAAACTAATACAATACGTATTTTTTTAAAAAAGTGGTATGAAGTCTGAAATAATTCCAGATTCTTCCTATTCAAATATTTGAAAAAATATGGAATATTAGCTCATCCTTGAAATTAATGTAGATGTGTTTTAAGTTTATTGTTTGCATATTTCAAAGATAGTATAACATCCACTTGTTTTCTTGAAAAAAAAACACCTTAAAATAGAAATTAGTTTGAAATAGCCTGTTTTATTTGAAGTACATTTATGTATACATAAGTACAATTCTCTTTCAGTAAGAAGATTGCTTTTATGTGAAGAACTTGAGCGTTCCTCTTGTGGCAGTGTACTCTTCCATGGATATCTCCCACCTCCAGGTACTTCTGTATGTTTCGACTGATAGGTATCTCAGACTTTTCAATTGTTGAGATTTTTCACCTATTTTAAAAGAATAGCATGAGAGTTTGCTCTGTGACTTCCATATTTAATAGATGATTATGTCCACCTTCCATATGAGGATCTTATTAGGCTCCTTTTATAAACTCTTCTGCCTCATTGATATTAGTTCAACACATATTTTCCTGGGTCCTATTAACACCAATGATACCTTTAAAGGTTAACTTTGATTATTTGTTTCTCTGATGATGTTATATAAAGTCAACCTTATCCACCTACCGCTCTTCCTCATTTAGTCTTTAGTTCTGGAGCACTGTAATTTGAAAAACCTCTGTGGCCCTCTTTGGAAATACACTTGTACACAATATCTTTTGGAATTGGGGCACCAAGTGAATTGTTAATTATAATGTTTTAGGACTGGTGAAGTGATTTATTTTGCACTGTGACTCCTGTGCTGTTTTAGAAGAGCCCTAGTATCCAGAGGTGGAAGATTTGGGCAAGCTGTGACTTTAAAGTTGTAATTTTTTAATGTATATCTTAACAATTAGGCATAAAAATGAGAAACAGTGATACCGAATTATAACATTATTAACATATCCTTTCTCTCTTAGGCATTCCAAGTCGAAAAATCAATGGTTCTGCAGGAACATCTACAGATGTTAGAATACCTCAGAATTGCTCTGAAGGTGAGGTGCGAGCAGGCAATTTGCAGCCTTCACTAACTGGTACTGGTGAAGATACAGTTAAGCTAGGTGAGAACAATGTAGACTGTTATTATGATACATATGATTCTCACGTTCTTTTGTTTGTGGTTGAAAATTATTGAGTGTAGAACTATGTCTTAATTTGATTCTTTAGTGTCATCATTGGGTATCATTGTGAATATAGAAATTAGGCTTTCAGTTGCTACTAATTTTTAAAGACTCTGTTTAAAAAAAAAGTACTGTACATAAAGCTCCCGAAAGGATGGCCAATAAAGTAAATATCTTCAGTTTTGAAGGCAGTTTGCATTCAAAGGTGCTGCACATTCACGGCTAACAAATGGAAAATATTTAATCTACATGGAAATACTAATTGCATTGCAAGGCTCCTGAAAATCCCGTTCATCTTAACATTTTAACTTTTGCTATTTCCTAGGCCACAAGCGTCCATATATTCTTGTCCATCTTGGTAGCATTAAAAGCTAGATTTGTATCCATGACATTAAATTTCAAAACCCTGTATTTGTACTAATACTAAATTATATATTTGCATAATATTGTGGAATTTCAGAAGATACAGTGCCATTGATCTGTGACATGGTAGCAACTGTTAATTGAAATAATGATAATTTATATCTTTCATCTTTTCTCTTTGTTTTGCCTTTTTAAAAAACAACAGGGATTCCTGTGGATCCTCGAAAAGTTTTGATAGTGGCTGGCCATCATAACTGGATAGTAGCTGCATATGCCCACTTTGCAGTTTGTTATAGGTAAGCACAAGTTAGTAACACTATGATCAGTTTTATCTTTTAATATTTGTGCCATTTTATAAAATATTCATTAAATGCATAGTGATTGAGGGTTTTTGTTCAGATGAACCCAAGTTCATCATCTTTAATGGTCTGAAATTAATCATTCTGCTCCTTCATAATTACATTATAAAACTTATTTTCTAAGGATGTGATGTTGCCCAATATTAAGCCACTATATTTACAATAAGGTGCTTTTTTTTCTCTGAAGTACACAGAATCAGGTGGTGAAGGAAATTAACTTTCCTAGTACATGTTTTCTGAGAGAGAAATCCCTGTTACTAATGTATGTGTTGCTTCCAGTTGTTTCACTAGAAACTTAATGAATCTGAAAAGTTTGGTATATATTCTTTGCTGTATACAATGACAGAAATTTTATAATATGCTGAATTAGAAATTGTTAATAAAATATATTTTTATAAATGGCTTTAATTCTTTTATGTAAAACATATATTAATATGAACTTCTGTGTGATTGTAAGACCCTGAAAGCCACTACATTCAGTGTACATTAAAAAAGAATGTTGTAGTACTATGCTGCTATATGCCCAGTCTGGTCTATTCAATAGCTTGTTGTAATCAATAAATAATGTTTCTAAATCATAGAGTTGAAAGAGGCAATTTAGACATAGGCCTGTCCAGCTCAGTGCAGAAATCCAAGCATCTAGAGTCCACTCAAAGATATCCAGTATAGAGGATTCTACCATTCTGAGAAATTGGTTCCTGTAGCAATCTGCTGGTACTGTCACCACATTTCACTAATTACTATAAGTAACTCTAAAAGGACACAGAGGACAATGTGCTTTGTTACATAGCAATTATGCATACAAAGATATGGATTGATTGATAATATTCCATCAAGTCAGTTTTTATTCTTAGTGATCCCATAGCTACCATAGATTTTCTCAATAATCTGCCTTTCGTCTACTCTTTCAGGTCTTCCAATGGTGCAACCATTGCCATAGTAATAGAGTCCATCCATCATAGTAAACTAGTAGTTGTGTAGTGAGAAACTACTGTACCATGTGTTTGATAGAGACTGCCTACGGAGATTGCCATTTTAAATCGTTCAGTCTCTTTCAAAGCAATAATTATATTCAAATTCCAGAAAATTTTTGAATCAATTTCTCTGTAAAGTTAAATGATCAGCACAGGTAGCCCTTCACTCACAACAGTTCATTTAATGACTGTTTAAAGTTACAATGGTGCTAAAAAGAGTTATTTACGACTGTTTTTCACACTTATGACCCCTGCAGCATCCCTGTGGTCACGTGATCAAAATTCAGCCGCTTGGCAATTGACTCCTATTTAGGAGAGTTGCAGTGTCCCAAGGTCATGTGATCACTTCTGACAAACAAAGTTAATGGGGAGGCCGGAACCCTTTACAGCCATGTTACTAACTTAGCAACTGCAGTGATTCACTTAACAACTGTGGCAAGAAAGGTCATAAAATGGGGCAAAACTCACTTAACGAATACCTCATTTAGCAATAGAAATTTTGTGATTAATTGTGATCATAAGCTGGGGAATAAAAACCAGAAAAGCACTTTGGATTTCATAATAATGCCATTTCTCATTTCCTGAATTAAGTTCATAAGATGCTAGTAGTAGCAATATGGCTACTTTCCACTGTAAAGTGTCAGACCCGAATTTACATGTTTAAGGATAAGTTTCTACTTGGCCTGTGCAAAATGTTTGGGATGCTGGCCATATATCTTTCAGTGGGTTGCTTTGACCTCATTGGAAGTACACAATGTTCCAGTCTTATTATTTAGACCGCAGATCATTTCTTGCAAGGTTGGAAGAACCAATTTCAGATTCAAAATGATTTGAGCTCAAGTCATTTTCTACATCTTAAATATGCAACAGCATATACATTCCTTCAGGGGTTAATACAAATTGAGGTAATAGGATGTCCTTGTAAAAATGAAATAGCTGTCCTTTTCCTCTGGAACTCCATATGAAATTATTTTGAGGATTTCTAACGTTTATAGCGTGATTCCAGTATGATTTATATTGCCAGTTTGTATGCAGTCAAGTTCCTAGCTAATATGGTCACATCTTGTTAGAAAGATAGGATGTAAATCAAACAAATAATAAAAAAAACCCTAGGATTGTCATTATGCAAAATGCTGCAGTAAGAAAGCTGATTTTGTTAGCTTTATATGCACTGTCACTTCACTCTTTTCCTTGAATAACTTTTAGTAACTATCATGCCACGTTGCAGCAGCATAAAGAGATTAGATAATGTGCCTGTTTTATTTGAAAGACGTCTGCTTTTTTCTGTTCTCTTTATTTTCCTTACACAATATAAATCTTTTACATGATTTTAAGAAATATACACTTATTTTTTCTTACATCTTTCCTCCTTTCCCATCTACCTTTTTGTTCATTACATTGAAATCGTGGAGGTAGACACTTTCTCATTCTTGATTCTGAAGACATAATCCCTGAGAAATGTTAAGTGTTGGAAGATAAATAATCATATATTTAATTTCCTTTTGTGGTTCTAGAAATTCTAACGATGTTATTTCATGTGCTTATTTGAGAAAATTACATAGGTATTGGAGAAAATATTTGGTTTTACTCTTTCTGAAATGCATCTATTAAATAAACCAGAATTACGGATTTATTGGAAGTCAATGACTTGTGACAGCATCTATTTAAATTTTATCTTGTAGGTGTTAATTCTAAGGTTCTTCAGTATTTTAAGTTATCTGTAGCATATAGGATTGAGTTAGAATATTTCCAACCATTTTTTTGGCTTCTTCTGATTGGACAACTTCATTCGTACTGAAGTTCCTGTACATCTTAGAAGGCCAGCCTTAAAAAACATCTGTTCATATGTGTTTTTCCTAGAATTAAAGAATCCTCTGGGTGGCAACAAGTTTTTACAAGTCCTTACTTAGACTGGACTATTGAACGTGTGGCTTTGAATGCAAAGGTTGTTGGAGGTCCACATGGTGACAAAGATAAAATGGTTGCTGTGGCATCCGAAAGCAGCATCATTTTATGGAGCATCCAGGACGGCGGTAGTGGTAGCGAAATAGGTGAGTGTGTGTTGTGTTTCATTTCTTAATATATAATGGTATTTTAATATGGCCATACTCTTCTTTTCATAGGTTGAATTGGAAGGGCTTGCAGTAAACTATTTGTTTTTAACCAAGAATATATTACTGAAATATTGTTTCTTAATATCTGTTGAATTTTGATCGATTATGTGCAGCTCTTCTGTATTTGATCATCGTCGAATCGAGAGAACACTCAATTAAGGAGATCATATACTCCTGCCTTTCTATTCACCAAAAACTAATTTATTCTTTAAAATTGTCAATTTACTAATTTTGAGCTTGTTAAATAATTTTACAAAATCAATTATATTTACTCCACTAACAGAGCAAATGGAAGACAGTGCACATGTATTACTTACATAAGTGTGGGTGTGATTGATTTATTGTATTGATTTTATAATGATTTAATAAGAAAGAGTATTCTCTTTGGGAGACTGCTACCAGCTCATTTTTTTTTTTTTCAATGTTAGCCGCTGTGGCTTGGGAAAGAGAAATAATGTTCTCTTGAAAAGAAAAACAAATCAGAAAAACAATTTGTTGTTATATATACTCTTCAGAAACTGACACTATTTATGGAATATTATCAAGCCTGGCATCTCCTAGAAGCTGTTTCTCCCTTCACTATTACTTACATAATATGCTGGTACCAGATTGCTACTATAAGCAATATTTTACAGAGAAATCCCCTTAAGACAAGCATCTGTCACTACTTTTACCATTGTCTTCCCTTTGGATGGTATTATGCCTGTTGAGCTTAAGTAGGAGTGACATTTTAAATTCCTTCAAACTATTCATGCTTGTCTCTCTTGATTTCCCCAAACTTCCTCCAGAGTAATCATTTCTACTCGTTTTTTTCCTTTTTCTTATTGCCTGCTTTTTATGTATGCTGCTGAAAATAGAGTAAAAACCTCAAGGAAGGTCATATGGCCCGAAAAATGATTTGGCATTTACTATTATTTGATATTTATTTATAACTTCTCCTGGAACATACTCAGTCTGTGCAGTTTGACAATTTTGAGTGGCTTACACTATGTATTTTAATATATTTTAAGATTTCTGCATGTTATTTAAGTTCAGAATGAATGAAAGCTTATAGTCACTTTATGTGCCAGACTTAATCTTTATAGCCAAAACCATAGTGGCTGATGTCCTTTATTTTAAAGTAACACAACACCTTTTTGTTGTTTAATTGTTCCTTCATTAAGCTTAAAGATAGAGGTGTTTACTGTATAGATTTTGATAGAAAAAATAAAAAATCACCCAACCATTCATAAACCTGGGCATGTCTGCATTTCTATCAAATCATACTTTAGCAATTCTCAGTGGCTAACACAATGTAAGTATTTTAATTTTTTTAAAGTAGGGTTTGACTATTTGAGGGGCCATCCTTTGTCAACTGTTTCTGCCTATTTGGCATGGGCAGACTGGGCATGCTTAAACTATTAATTAAACAATTACATTTTTGGAATCCAAAAAGCATGCCTTTTCTCTCATGGCAACTGCCCTATGGAATGATGTCCCCACCCCCAGAGATTTGGATGTCTCCCACCTTACCAAATTTCCAGAAATGATTAAACGTCTGGTTGTTCTCTCAGACCTTAGGCTAGAAGGAACACCTATAGTTTCTGGATTTTTGGGAGGGGTGGTACTACAGTCTTCTGGTTGATTGTGGGTGTTTTGGACATAGGTTGTTTTTACTTTTAGTTTTAACCTTTTCGGAGTCACTGAAGAGTCGGCTGACCTCTAAATCAAATAACAAAGAACAAAATAAGTGAACCTTATCTTAGTCATGGCTGATGTAGCCTCAGCTGAAACATAGTCATGGTACATACCAAGCCATAGGTATTTATACCAATCAGTCTATAATTAAGAGAGGCAATGATTACTAATGATATTGTTATACTTTTCAAAAGCATTTTAATTGGATATTGCAATTATTTTAACTTAAAATTTATTAGACCCTTTTGTGCTTTTAATATACATCTCTGTGTGGCATTGTCTCTCCTAATAGGAATATTTAGCCTTGGAGTCCCAGTAGATGCTCTTTTCTTCATTGGTAACCAGTTGGTAGCCACCAGTCATACAGGAAAAGTGGGAGTATGGAATGCTGTGACTCAACATTGGCAGGTACATACAGACAGAATTGCTTGCTCCTTTACATTATTAGCATTCAAAAAGGACATAAACTTTTAATCACTATATTTGTTCATTTTTGATATACTTTATTATTGCTGAAAAATCTTTTCATAATTTTCAGTTATGATAATTGCAATATAATAGATTTATCATTTAGCTAGCAAGAGTTATAATCGTTTTATTATTTTGCAGGAAAATTAATTCTTCCGTGTTTCTTACAAAATAAGGCCAGGCCTTATTTTTTTTTGACCCCCCCCCCCCCAAAACGGCTAGGCCGTCTTTTCGGGGGTGACTTAATCCCCCTCCCTTGCATCCTTGGGCAGGCGGCGACAGCTTGGATGTTGACCTTGGCATTGGTGGGGTACTTCGTATCGGGAGACCTTCCGCCACCATTGCTTTCCCTTCTCCCCATGCTGCCGCGGCGTTTACAGCAGCCATCCATGGCCAGCCAGGGCTCCTCCCTGCAACCGGAGCCTGGCGGAGACACTCGGCTTCAGGCGCTCCTGTCGCCGCCCTCCCTTCGCCTTGGAAGGCAAAGCCAATTCTTTTAAAAACGACGCCCTACTACCGGTACAACAAAGCCTCCTCTGCCCAAGAGGGCAGCCCAACCCCACATGGGGAGGCGAATCTTCCGGGGCCACAGCGTAAGATCGGCCCACCCCGGGAGAAGCAACCAGCCGTCTTCCCTGCCTGGTGCCAGGCAGAGCGTGAAGAGCTTCGCCTGGGGCATCCAGTGCAACTGACAGGCAGGCCCTCCTGCCCAGTGGCAGAGCTCTCCCCAAGGCAGTGAGAGCCTCCCCGCCGGGCCCTCCGCTCATCCCGCCAGGGCTGCGCCAGAGCCGTGTGGGCTGGGCAGAGCCGGGAAAGCAAGCCGCGGGTGCGCACCCGCCTGCCACCTCGGGCTGAACCGAGCTTGGCTTCCTTCCCAAGTCCCTCCAGCCCGAACCTGAAGGGGCCACCAGGAGAGGCCGTTCGAAGCAGTGATAGCACCCCCCCATCTGTGGACAGGGAGGCAAGGTGATGGTCTGAGCCATGTCCTCCGAGCTGAGCCCCGCTGAGTGAGCACCTCTGCCCAATGCTCGTGCCACTGCAGCATTTGGAGCTGCCGGTGCATTTGGAGATGCGTGGGGATGGGGATGGGCTGGGCGAGCGGTGGAAAGGATGGGTGGCTTCGGGCTGTCTCCACTCAACCTGCTGGCCAGGGAAGCAGCGCTGCCATCGCCTTGCCTCCCTGTCCGCAGACGGGTGGGTGCTCTCGCTGCCTCGGGCAGCCTCTCCTGGTGGCCCCTTTGTGTTCGGGCTGGAGGGACTTGGGAAGGAAGCCAAGCTCAGATCGGCCTGACTCGTTCACTTGTCAGGTGGGCACGCACCCACGGCTCGCTTTCCCGTCTCTGCCCAGCCTGCACGGCTCTGGCACGACCCTGGTGGGATAAGCGTAGGGCCCGGTGGGGAGGTGCTCGCTGCCTTGGTGAGAGCTCTGCCGCCAGGCAGGAGGGCCCGCCTGTCAGCTGTGCTGGGCGCCCCAGGTGAACTCTTCACGTTCTGCCTGGCGCTAGGCAGGGAGGGCGGCTGGGTGTTTCTCCCAGGGTGCACTGCGGTCCCGGGGGATTCGCCTCCCCACGCGGGGTTGAGCTGCCCTCGGGCAGGGGAGACTTTGTCATACTGGTAGTAGGGCATCGTTTTTAAAAGAATTGGCTTTGCCTTTGAAGGCGAAGGGAAGGCGGCGACAGGAGCGCCTGAAGCCAAGTGTCTCCGCCGGGCTCTGGTTGCAGGGAGGAGCCCTGGCTGGCCGCGCGTGACTGCGCCAAATGCCACGGCGTTGCTCTAAATGCCACGGCAGCACGGGGAGAAGGGAAAGCAATGGGGGCGGAAGGTCTCCCGATACGAAGTGCCCCACCAACGCCGAAGTCAATGCAGGTAGCACCATATCTGGGTATGCAACAAAAGTACTTCCTAACGGCAAGCCCCCACCACCATTCCCCCCCCATTTTGTATGTTTATGATAGGCCTTAATTTGGGGGGAGGGGCTTAATTTGATTTTATGCCTATAAAACATGCTGGGACTTCCTATTAGGGAAGGCCGTATTGTTGGACAAACACTGTATATAACAGGAAACATGTTTGCTAAAGATGGAGCTGACTCCTGTTATTTATTTATTTTTATCTGGAAAGCAGGGTTTAAGACTTATTCCTGTTCTCTAGAAGTGATCACACCTTTCAGAGGCAAATCCCATATTTTCTCTTGATACAACTTGAGGGACAAACACAAAACATAAATAAGGAAGAGAAGATAGTCTAGGAAAGAGAGCAAGATGTAATGCAAATTATGCCTGTCCTAGTGATCTGATTGGATTGCTGAAGACAAGCTGCAGCGAAGAGGCAGTGTGATAGCTGAATATTAGAACCCAGGAGCATTCAGGCTTGAGCAGTTGCCCAGATTCGTAGGTGGGCTGATCCAAGAGGTAGAAGAACTTCTGGAGACAGTGATGCAAAAACCGAGGAGTCAAGCATCCTTCTCAGCTTTATTGATTTAACTATGGCACTTTCTAAAGATGGAGTAGGTATCAGGTAGGGTTGCTCATGTGAAAAAAAATGAAGGGGAAGAAGGAAAAACCCTAGGAAGTCAAAGTGGCTATTATGTATCTGAAACCCCTGGCAAGTTAATCTGTTCTGCAGGTGGTTGGGAATAAGGCATATTTGTGAGGATGAGCAAGCAGGGGATGCTGCTATAATATCATCTTTCCAGATGTATGGCAGATCTCTTCTGGAGATGATTGATCTCATTGCAGGGATGGTTGAGACTCTTAATATGGGAATCCCACTAATATTTACAAGGCAGCACCAGAGTGGAACCAACTAAATTCATGAAGCATTATGAGGTAGATAGGTTTACCTCTGCAGATGTAATCGTTGGGCACGTAATGCTATAGAGAAGGGGTGTCAAACTCACAGTGTCACGTCATCATGTGACGTATCACGACTTTCCCCCCTTCGCTAAAATGGGAGTGGGAGTGGCTAGCGTGTGATGCATCCGGCCCGTGGGCCGCAAGTTTGCCACCCCTGCTGTAGAATCTGTTTTAACTTCTGTTAGCCATTTCTGGGAATGCTGCTGCAGTGTAGCCCTTTCATGTTGGGTTCATCATTTATGACTTAACAACAGTAGTTGGACTTGATATGAAATACATTCCTTGTCACTGATCTACCAAAAAGGGGAACGATCCAGAGATGTTTCAAGAGGGACCAAGCGTTAATTACTGTTCTGTGTTTGCTATTATAAATTTTTCTTTCATTTCCCAATTATTTTTGCTGGTGGCAATGTTTTATATTGTTACAGTGAATTAGTTAATAAATGAAAAACGGAATTACAATCAGCTGAAGTCATGCATGCTGCTGAAAGGAGGGGTTTCTTCCATGGGACAGGAAGAAGTCTTAAGCTCTGCAGTTTTGCTAGAAGAGGTAGAGTTAACCCATTCTGTTGAACTTTTCAGTAACCAGAAGGTTTTTCATGGTTAGTCAGATTATATTTGTGTCAAATCCTGAGGAATTTAGAAATTTTATCCACTATCTGAAAGTTTCTCAACTAATGATACATCATTTCTCAAAGATAGCTATTTTTATATTTCTGTTCTCAAATGGTGTGCAATTTTTATACATTATGCATTTTGACCGTGGAAATAGAGATTCTTGGATTATATTCAAGACTGAGAGGCATTCACGCAAGAAGCAAACCTGGTAACACAACCAGATGGTTGTCTCTATAGCTCAGTGTAAAGAACTAAGGAAATCCAAGAGACTGCTGTGTAATTTTCAAGAGGCAAAAGTGACCTAAGGCGTAGACTTGGGATACCACATCACTGGTTGAATAAATCCTGATTTTACACATAAGTGACGGTCATGCCAATAAGTACTACAGGAGAATTCAAGAAACCAAGTGGTATCATTGTTATTTATTGAAATCTTACAGGGGTCTCATGAATATAGCTTAAAATCCTTTTTAAAGTTTTTTTTGTAAAGTTTGCATAATTCATTCTAAGGATTTGGGTAGTAAGCTGATAGTCTGCTCATTCTCAAGCAAAATCCTGGTAGCATAAAAAGCATAGCCAAAATCTGGTATTCAAATAGCATTGAAGTAGTTAGAACATTTTGGGCGTAGTTTATTTGCATAATATATTAAATGCCCCAAAGTGGGCATGTTTGCCAATTTAAGATGCTACAAAATTGCAATTAGAAGACAGAAAAATAAAACAAGATGAAAAGTGAAATGAAAAATAATTGAATGAAATTCCAGAGAAATGTTCAAAGTTCTTAAACAAGTGAAGCACAAGAGGTATAAATCAGTGTAGCTGATGTGGCTAGAGTACATGTGAAAACAATCTTGGAATTATACTTCATCTCAAGTTGATTAAGTGGTAGTAATGTGAATGACTGCTAAAAAGGCAACTGCTTCTTTACCCTGCTTCAGTAAATATTGATTATAGGAAATAATTCCATTGCATCATATTTGTGTGTGTGTGTGTGTGTGTGTGTGTGTGTGTATCCCCCCCCTCCCCTTGGATGTGGATGGACAAAGAAGTATATCAAATTAGAGGAAATAATGTTCTAGTTGAATATGTAACATCCATTTGATAGAGTAACCAGTTAGGAAATTGACCTCAGTGGCTGAAATGGCCTCTTTCAAACTTAAGTAATTTTATGAATAACTTTAAAAATCTGCTTTTAAAAAGCTAATATAGCAGTTGAAACTAGGAGCTATGTTTTTCTTTATCCTATTATTCTGTCTTTCTTTTTGGGTTCTATATAGTTAGGCTGTATTAATCATCTCTTTCTTTCTGCCATTGTCACTTGCTGATTGATTCCAATCACAAGTTTGCTGTCCTCCCCTTTATTGGTCTCATTTATCCAAGCTTGGCAAAGGTCTGTTGTCTTAAAGGGGAAGTTGGCTATGATGGTTCCTCTTTCCTTCCAGATTTTATTCCCCCCAACCCCTTTCTGAAACAATATAACATTTGTCATCTATTTCAGTAAGAATTATTTTTGCAGTGCTTTCTTCTGTTGGCTTCCGTCTTAGTTTTGAAGGCTTCCTGGAAGATCTTTTCTGAGTACCATCAGTGTTTCCCTTCTACTTTTTGGGGCTTTTTTCCTCTTATCCAGAGTTGTTCTCCTTCTTCTGGCATCTCCCACTCCTGACATTTTCCTGCTTACCTACCAGTGCTCCAACTAACTTTTGAGACTGCAGACGAGGGAGGAAAAAAACTTCCCATTTTTTTCTTCCCAGCTCATCTACCCAGACCTTTTAGACTATAGTCTGCCATTATCCAGTTTACTTTGACCCATTCTGTCTGGGCTCTTTTGTATGCATCTGGTACTGTTGTATTGACCCCTAAAGGTGGTATATCTTTCATGTTTCTCTCTTCTGTCTTGGAACTCCGTAGGCTTTTCTGACCTCTTTGCAGTCAGTATATTTGCACATGTATGTATACACACACACATATATTCTCTCCTTTCCCAGCATTCATGTTTTTACACAGGCATATTGTATTATGGATATTAATTCAGTAACTTGAAAATAATTGTTGCAACACTGTGATATAAGGATTCTTTCAGAGGTTTTACAAGAAAATTGTCAGAACGACATCTTTTAAATTTAATATAATTTTAAATTGCTTCAGTTTAATCTTCATAAAACACATGCTTTTAGATTGTATGGTTCACATGTAGTGCTAGTCAAACACAAAAGCATATGAAACAAAATGGAAAGTTGATGTTTTTATTTTATTTACTAGGTTCAAGATGTTGTCCCAATCACTAGCTATGATACTGCAGGATCATTCTTACTGCTGGGCTGCAACAATGGCTCCATATATTACATTGGTAAGCTCAGAAATCTCTCTCCTAACTTTGAGAATTAACTTCACATTTCAATCCTTTGGGTTATATCGAACAGGGGTCCCCAACTGCTGGTCTTTGGACTGGTACTGGTTCTTGGCCCATTGGGAACCAGTTCACACAGGCTTCATTTGCACATCCGTGGGACGATTGCATGTGAGAAACATCACCACCACCCTCTGCCGCCACTACTAATGCTGATCTGTGAAGCCAGAAAGTTTGGGGACTGCTGATTTATGGAGGTTTTACTTTTATTTCTTGAAAGTATTTTTTCAGGAGTTTTGTTGTAAACATTTTAAATATCTGAAATGGTTGCATTCTAAAATAATTTTTATATGTCTTTATTTTGCAGATATGCAAAAATTTCCATTACGAATGAAAGATAATGATCTTCTAGTGACGGAACTTTATCATGATCCCTCTAATGATGCGATAACTGCACTTAGTGTTTACCTTACACCCAAAACAAGTTCGTACCATCTTGATAGAATTGATACTGAATATATTAGCGTCAAACCATCCTGGTCTCAACTTTAAAAATATTAAATGTTCCTTCAGTTTTGTTCTTTAGTTATCCATACACAAAATATTTGTGATTCATTTAGAATTAATAAGAAAATTATGGCTGTAGTGCATCTTACTATAGATCTGTTATTCAGTTATGGATTTTATACATTTTGAAATGTCATTGTACCCCTTATGCTAGTATACTCAATGCTACAGCACTTGGAAGAGAATTTATTACTATTGCTATGCAATAAAATTGTAAACTTCTCTTCAAAACAATTTTTCCTCAAATGACAGTATTTTAAAAAATATCTGAATTTCAAAATGTCACTTGTTAATTTTATACTATTTATACTATTAGTTCATAAGTTAATTGTGTTGATTTTATTATTAGGGTAAAGGTTGAAATGTATAGTCCTGTGATGGCGAACCTATGCCACGGGTGCTGGAAGTGGCACGCAGAGCCATCTCTCCAGACACACGAGCCATCATCTGTTGCTCTTCCGGCCTCTGGCGTGCTGGTCAGCTGTTTTTTACACGCGCAAGAGCACTGGAAACTGGAAGAGCAGCTGCCCGGCATGCATGCATGCACCAGGAAGATGATTTTCTGGTTTGTCACCTGGTCTTCCGGTTTCTGGTACTCATGCAAGCGCGAAGACCACTTGGCTAATGCACATGCATGTGCTGGAAACTGGAAGATCATTTTCCTGGCGCACGCATGCGCACCGGGCAGCTGCTCTTCCAGTTTCCGGCAAACACACACATGCACACTTGCTCCCATTTTGGCACTGGGTCCTGAAAAGGTGCACCAACGCTGTTATAGTCTATCAGAAGTGTTTGTCTTGTACATAATTTCAACAGTATTTTCAATATTTGAAATATGCATAATATATGGGAAGAGTGCTACTTGTGCACTATAAGTGCAATAATTGCTGAAATAATCTTGTAAAAGTTAAATGTAAACACCACATTTTTACTGAACAGCACTCCTGCACCATCTTGGGCAAATATAATTTACTAAAATAATTTCTGTTTCACATTTTTGTATAGGTGTAAGTGGCAATTGGATTGAGATTGCATATGGCACAAGCTCTGGAGCTGTACGTGTAATTGTGCAACATCCAGAAACAGTTGGTTCAGGACCACAACTCTTCCAGACTTTCACAGTTCACCGTAGTCCTGTTACAAAGATCATGTTATCAGAAAAACATCTCGTGTCAGGTAATTTTGTCAGACTAAATGGCTTCATAACCTTTTTCTATTATGTACTCTTTTTAAAAAAATTTCCAAAGCTCAAAAGAAAAAAAATGAAACAAGATAGAATATGCACAAAGGCCAGCCTCCATTTATGTCTCTTAGTTATGTCGAATTTAAGGTATTCAGTGAATTTATAGCCATAGAAGCATCCTAACCCTAAATGAAAAAGAAGTTTATTTTGTGTTATTTTTCACATTTCTGATCCTTGTTTTTGTCAGGCAGCGCTCGTCATGAATTGAGCCACTAGTTACTATCATCCTCTTTCTCTTAGTGAAGGGCATAACAACATCTCTTGCAGCTTTAGAGTTCTCCTGATCCAATTTCTGTATCACAGTATCCATTTTTAATTCCCCCAAAGGCTCAGACACTGTCTTTTTTCCCCCCCTTGAGTGGACTGAAAGAATTAACCCTGACCCACCCAACATTTGTTTACTAGGTTGTAAAAAGTAGAAAAAGGAAGATTTAGTACCGGTATTGTTATTCAAAAATACCAATTGGTTTAAGTCTGAGGTAAAATTAGGATGATAACCTCTGCTTCTTTTTATGGTTATTTTCCTTCTAGTGTGTGCTGATAATAATCATGTCCGGACATGGACAGTGACACGTTTTAGAGGAATGATTTCAACACAGCCAGGATCCACTCCTCTGGCATCATTCAAAATTTTGTCCTTGGAGGAAACTGAGAGTCATGGAAGTTACTCTGCTGGAAATGATATAGGTAAATGAGGCATTCCAGGTAAACTGCAGTTATTAGAATAGTGGTTTAGAAGACTAGCTCTATGGAGATCTCCACCTGCCTGCAGATTCTACTGTGGGGTGTGGACAAGTGTACCAATTCTGTTGTCTAAAGGTTACTGAAATCCTGTCTTCCTACTTCATGCTCAGCAGGCAAAGAAAGATTAGGCACATATGGATATTAAACCATTTTTGTGCATGCCTATTTCCTTCAACTCAGCTCTACAGAATTGGCAAACATTCATATAGGACTTCTGAGAAAGATGCCAAATTGTCCATGTAGGACAAATACTAAATCAGGACAGCATAAAGAGCGGGAGGGGTGGTGACATTTGTTACAAAGAAGCATAACAACATAAAAGATCTAAATATAGAACATAAAGGATATAAAAAATGAACATCAAAAACAAGCTATACAAATTTAGCAGTTATAAAAGATACACGTTTTTTGAAACAACTATGTATACACACGCATTATAAAAAATACAAACATGAAAGTCTAAAATTGAAGAATGGGAGTGTTAGATGGGTGTAGAGAAGTATAAAACGTTAGTACGTGGAAGACAATATGAAACTATAATCTGCATTTTGGGGTAGTTGTTTGAGAACTTTTGCAGGAGTGATTAGCAACTTATGCACAGAACTCTAAGGTTCTTTGTTTAATATTTCACCTAACTCTTGTATACAACTGAACATCAGTGCTTTCTATTTGGTTTTCTCTTCCAGGTCCATTTGGTGAGCGTGATGATCAACAGGTATTTATCCAAAAAGTTGTTCCCATCACCAACAAACTTTTTGTGAGACTCTCTTCTACTGGAAAAAGGTAAGCTGTGCAGTTACAATGCTACTGATTAATTCAGGAAATCAGTTATTGTTTTTTAATTCTCTGAGTTAAAGCAGAGTATTTTGGTATTTTGCTTTTAGCCTTCACATTCTTATAGACTTTTAATTATATCTTTTATTTTAGTGCTTGCTTCTATTCCTTCCATAGGCTAGCGTGTAATGCTGCCTTTATTAAAAATATGAGTTGCCTGGCCATTTCAAAGTAAACAAAATCCAGAGTTGTGGAAAGTGTTTTTGAAAATTTAGTTAAAGAGCATAGTATGGCTAATATAACCATGGCAGCCAATTAGTATTAAGCCATTCCTCCACTCCAGGCTAGAAACCAGTGAGACTCAAAGCAGCCCATCCTTTCTTAATGGTTAATCTTGTAATGAGTAAAACTCTTTAATAGAAGGAATCTACTTTGTATTTATGTTCATTTCATAAAATCATAAGCAAGCATTAGAGAAATTAATCAGGAGTGCATCTTCCAAACATCTACCTTATCCTTTCGACAACTTGTCAGTTTTAAAGCAAATAAAAATAGATAGCTATAATATGGCTAGAAGCTTCATTATCACTTGAATAATATTACATTGGAATATAATAATATAATATATTATAAATCACCATGATTTATTGTTCTAGGCAGGCTTAGGAAGAAAATGGGATATAGTTATTAAAATTAATGTTATATTAGGGTAAATTTGAATGTAGTAATTCAAACTCTGTTAAACTTTGACCTCTTTATTTTCTCATTTTCTTTGATTACTATGGAATAGTTTAATCAACACATGTCTTCTATGTTAATTAAGCCTGGGTTCCTATATACTCATTTTGTCCTGGAAATAATTGTATTGGTTATTTGTTTCCATGGTAGCAATTTGCAGTATGTGCAATCAATTGTTACACATCTTTTTTTTACACATTTTGTTTTGAACCACTGTGGATCCATCCATTTTGGAATAAAAAGAAATGACTCTTAATTAGGCTGCCATGGCAATAGGCCTCTTCATGCATGTGTAAATAGAAAGTTAGACTTGATGAAAAGCATATAATTTTCTGCCCTCTGTAAGAGATGAATCTCCTTAGTCACAAAAATTCAGCTTTTAAAAGATCCCTTTGGCAGTGACCATGCAATCGGGCAACAGCCACACGGAAGCAAACCTAGTCAAAGCAAAAAGAAGCTTGTCTTCCCCAGGTAGATCCAGCTTCTCTGTTCTCTGTCCCCAAAGGCTGGCAACAGCAGTATTCTGCAATTGAAGCAAGATAGTTGAAGCATGCTAGTCTATTCCACAAAGCTGAACCAGTTAAAAGACACTACAAATACTTGTTGAACAATGGATCCCAAGACCATGGTCACTGCAGTTCCTTGCAGGAAGTGAACTGTAAGCTCCAAGACACTGTTTTTTTTAAATCAAGCTAAGTTCTGCTGTCTCCAAAAGTAGTTACATCAATTATTTTTATTATGTGCCCTGATCTTATATGAAGCAAGAAGCTTACCATGTGACTAACAAGTTTGCAACACTTTGATGCAAATCTTTAAGGGCTAAAAATAAGTGTGTTATCCCTCTTTCCTTTGGCTAAGAAAGATTGGTGACCATTTTTTTTCCTTTAAAAAAAAAAGAACTATATTGATCTGAAAATTGGGAAATACCAAGTTTTCTTTAGAGCAAACAAGAGCCTTATTAAATATTTTCTTTATCTGATGAAAGCCTCTATGTCAGTCAAGGTCCTGTTTCCATAATATTCTACCTCGTGAGATGTTGCAAGAAGAACTGTCTGCCATGTGAGTGCCACACAGAGCCTGAAAAGTATCAGCTAAAATAGACCCTACATCAAGGCTGCAAGGTTAACATGAGATCCAATATGAGAACCAGTATTAGAGAAGACAATACATTTCCCTTTAAATTAACATTAATGAGATATTAACAGGAAAGTTCACTTATTTCACTACCTAACACTGTTGGCCCTCCTGAGTATGTTCAGCTATTCTAACTTCTCAGGAGGGTCATGAAGTAGTAGCTTCAAATCTCAAAGTGGTTGTAGTTGCTTCACATCAAAGGGATTGCATACTCTTAATACAAGGCCCATTTAAGAGTCTGGCCAATTTACAATTCATTCCTGATGACAGGACAATGCATCATACTTAAGCTACCCCTAAACATTGATCATGACTCACCAAACCTGCTAAGATGGTTCGACAGCTAACACTGCCAGTATTGAGCAATAATGTGTTGGCATCCATCAGAAATGTGCAGAAAAGCTGGTGATCACTTAACTATAGAATAGCTTGTAAACACTAAGTAGTTTCTTGAGTGCCTATTGAAATTCCAGCAAAATGCACAAGCATTTTAAAAAGAATAAAAATACTTCCAGTAAATTTGCATGAAAATATTTTCTTTTACTTACTGAGATTGTTTAAAAAGAAATTGATCTCACCTATGCAAGTATCGTCTTTTCCCAGTAACTTGCCAATTAAAAACTGTGATATTTACATTAAATATCTATTTTATAAAAAATGTTGATAATTTTCAGAATGCACACACAGGTATATGCCAAACTGCATTTGTGAAAGTGGTATGTGCAATCATGTGAAACCATTCTCTATCTCTCCCTCCTCACACCACTGCCCCTGCCAGTCCACCAAGCTGGAAAGGTTGGGGACCACTGGAGTACAGTACAAAGGGGCATCTCGGGCAAAAGCTACTTCAGCACATTTGTATATATTTCCCGAAAATAATACCTGATCTATATTAACTTTTGTTCCAAAAGATGCATTAGAGCTTATTTTCCCATCAGTTCTTATTTTTAGGGAAAGAAGGTACTAAATGTGCCTGTCTGCTGACGATCTTAATAACTGGGGCTTATATTATGAGCATCCTGAAAAATCATGATAGGGGTTATTTTCTGATAAGGTCTTATTTTGGGGAAAACATGGTAGCTCAGACAGATCTGTTAAGCAAATGCCTTATAAGCCTTGATATGGAAATGTGTTAAGTTAATCGTGGGAAGTGCTGTGCCATGCTAAACTGTCAATAACTTTTTGATTTTTGTCTATTTTAACTTGTAATGTCTAGTTAAAGGAAATACATTTTTTGCCTCAAAGAATGTTGTGAAGACAAATAGTATAAGTTTAAGATTCCAGGAGACAAATTTCAAGGGCAGTTTGATGATACACTTTGAAAGTGCTTAGTTGTGTCCAATAAACTCTAAAACGCGTGGCTTAATAAATACAGAGAAATACAAAAGCATATAGAATAGTCATTTGAGAACTTTTCCCTTTCATAGTTAACCCGGGGATGGTTCAGGGGTTCTTTGCTTGAACAACAATCTCTAATATTTGGATAATAGGAAAGAGTTTTATACAAACATTAAGTAGAATCTGTGGCAGATTTTCTTGCATTTTGAGATTCTAGAGCAGAAGTGATTGTGGCTTTATTTTCAGGTGAATAGGTACATATAATTACAATTTATGGATATAGTACTAATTTGTAAATGTTAATTTGAAGGTGAATATCTGATTGAGAGAATATATATGTCACGGCCTATATGTTTTAGCAAATTGGTGGTTGATATGCTGCAGTCCCTTTTTTCCCCCAATAGGATATGTGAAATTCAGGCAGTTGACTGTACTACAATTTCCTCCTTTACTGTGCGTGAATGTGAGGGATCCAGCAGAATGGGCTCAAGGCCACGGCGTTACCTCTTCACAGGGCACGTTAATGGCAGTATTCAGATGTGGGACCTAACTACGGCAATGGATATGGGTAATAAATGTGAAGAAAAAGGTTAGTTGTCTTGAATGCAACAGTTTTCAATAGAGCTTGAATTGATTCCAGTTTTCTATTACTTACTTTATTTATTTATTTTTGGAGTAGTGGTTGTGTCTTCCATATTTTTATTATTTTGTTTTGACATTTTGTACATTATTCTTAAACTGCAAATATTTAAATTTATTTATTTAACATTAATAAAGGAGATATTCAATATATATTGTTTTTGAATGTTTAGATGATTATTTGATCTCTATCTACTTATCATACATCCATCATCTATCTGTCTGTCTGTCCGTCCATCCATCCATCCATCCATCCATCCATCCATCTATCATCTATATATATATATATATATCTTAAGTAACCGTCCATCACAAAGGCAAATGATTCTGGGCGGCATAAAACATTTATCCTACAAAGACAGTATACTAAACTCTTCAGAGCATTTTAGGTACAAAATGCTAACTAAATTTAGTTTCTCAACGTATATGTGGATCTGTCTTCTGTCTCCAAGATGTGGGTGGTCCTACTGAAGAAGAACTGCTTAAACTTCTGGATCAGTGTGATCTGAGCACATCTCGCTGTGCAACCCCCAATATCAGTCCAGCTACTTCAGTAGTCCAGCAAAGCCGACTGCGTGAATCAAGCTCTAGGTAAGCTTTACAAATTAAGTTTGCATATATGTGGATGGCAAGATTTAAGCTAGATCTTTCCTTGTATAAGACTTCATTTTATCCCGCTGTTTACTTAAAAGTTAATACTCTAACATTTTGCAAACTGTGCAGTATAGATAGCGTATAAAGAGTTCCTAGTGTGTGCCTGTGTGAATTATGTAATTTGCTTATTCATATAGTAGTGATCTGAAGGAATAATGAATAATTTATGATTTTTGCATGAAAATAAAAATAATCCAAATTTCTAGTTAGTAAATTTGTTCAATTTGACATGCTCAATTTATTAATTTAATTATTTAAAAAGCTTCAAATGTTTTCAGCCTCCAGTTACAGCACCGGGAAACAATCCACGAAACCGCTACATATGGCTCCATACGGCCATATAGGGAGAGCCCCTTACTAGCCAGAGCCCGCCGGACGGAAAGCTTTCACAGCTACAGAGAAATTCAGCCTTTTAATTTAAGTAAAACCATGGTAGACAAAGCTGTTCCTCAGAATGGCAGTTGGAGTCCTGTACAGGCAGAAGGGAAAAGAAATGGTGAAAACATAGCTGACAAAAAAGCTTCAGCCTTAGCACTTGAGATAAGAATGGCCAGAGTGCCAGATGGAGGAACTGAACTTCAGAAAGTGTCTGAAAGCATATTAGAATTGAAAAAAAGAGGAAACGATGAAGACAATGAAACCAAAGTAGACTGCAAAAGGAAGAGTGGATTTGAAGGAGGTGGTTTCCTTGGAAGAAAGAAAGGACCACATCTTGTGGTGTCTTCACCAAACATTGTAGAAGGAAGTTCTGAGGTATTTGGTACAGCTTCCCCATCTCCTACAAAGACAACAGTTTCTCCACGGCATAAGAAAAGTGACTCATCTTGCCAGGATTACACCTTATGAAAATACCTTGTGAAAATAAAAGACGTCTGTATCCCACATGTATATCAAACATTTCTCACTAAACTGGACGAATTTCACATTTATGTATCTAAATTTGTATCTTTCTAATTGAAGATGAGTTTGAATTAGAATCAGACAGAATAAGGAAACACGTTCTAGACAAACCAGCCTTCCAGTCCTGGTGTTGATCTTGATAAGTTGGACTTGAACTTCCATAATTCCATTGAGGCAGGTTGGCTTAATTATGGGGAATTATGGGAGTTGAATCTAATTTCTCTGGAAAGTACCAGATGGAGAAAGCTGCTAAAAAAAACCTGGCTTCATAGCACAATCAATGGAAGCATTTTTTAACTACTCAAGATTGGTGTTAACTTTCTATAACTGTCTATGTGAAGTCCAGTTCTGGTACAGACGTTTTCAAGCTTTGTTTAATACAGGCTGGCATGCACTACCATTTTTGTTGTAAAGTAACTGTTTCCTAATCTTGGTTACAGATATGCTAAATATTTAAAGTTTATGGTCGGTCTATAGAGCAATTCATACTTTCAGTGTGGTTTCCATGTTGAAAATAATAATGGGAAGAATTAGGGTGTTTTATTTTATGTCTTACTTTTTCTGCTGTGCCACCAGTTTTTATTAGTATTAATAAACTTTGTATATCATCTCAAGCTTCAATGTGTTGACTTAACCAAATTGAAATTCTAAATGTCTTGTCACAGATATAAAACATTACTTTGCAGATATTTATCAAATATTAAAGTACAAAGAATGTAGTCATTCTGTACACTTTTAATTACAATAGCATCAGTGGATTAATTCTGGAATGATGGACCACACCTTCCTATCAAGCCATTAGTAGTTGCTCTCATAAGTGGTTTCTTGCATTTTATGAAGCTCCATGTGCCAGCTTGTGGAGTCTGCTATTATGAGATGTCACACAAATTACTTCTACAAAATTTCTATGTGGTCTGGCCTAGTCAGCAATCGGTAAGAGAGAAAAAAAAACCCAAAGCATGCTACCATCTTCCATAGGAAAGGAGAACTGGAGTCACTTTCTTAACAACATACATTGATCTTTACAATAATTAATTACAAGTTTGATTGCAAATTACCTAGTTATAGACAAAAAATTCATAGAAAACTTCACTTATTATACCACTGTATAGAATTAAGCAATTCGTTTAGGTCTGCACAGTTGAAAAAAGCCAGAATTTGTAGATGTAAATAAGTTTCCCAATATTTCTAGGAGCAATATCTGTGCATGAAAGTATCTTTTAATCCTTTGGCAAAGGCACAAGCAGTCTTGAGATTTCTTCTTGCTTTTTCTTTGCCCTTCGGTCCAGTCAAATTACATTATCTTACACATTTCCTAGAGACCCTTAATGATACAGCCTTGAATGTTCCCAGTTGCATATGCTAAGGCTGGAAGAAAACCAGGATTCTACTGAGTCTCACAAATACAGTAACGGCCTCCTTGTGATGTTTTATTGTATGCTTTCAGCAATCATAAGCATATTTTAGAGTAGATAATTATTCCCTTTCTTGCAATACGAAGAAGAGGGCAAGAATTGAAAGCTGATACCCCAAAGCCAGGCTTATACTCGGTCCTTCAATATTCTTTGTTGAATACTTAGATTTTGTATCAATGTAACACTACTAACATAGAATAAAATATACAAAACTATAAGCCTGCCCTGTTGTAAGATATAAATCTGATAATAAATCTGATAGTACTGCAGACACTATTCAGTTATATTTGAGTCCCCTGCCTGCTAAAATAAACCCTCAACATGTATAAACATGGCAACTTATCTTCCATAGAAAGTGTGATGTGTGCATAGTGAGAGTTGCAGCTGCCACTTGTCCAAATGACTTCACAATTAAGAATAAAAACCCATCACTTTAATGTGAATTATACAATGAATAGTAAGGATTTAAAATTTCCAGACATTTTAAATTTACTCTGTGTGACTGCTGTTGGTTATTCTTAAAATGAACACTTGTCATTTGAATTTTATATGTTCTGCCGTACTGTTTACCATCTTGCTTGATTACACTTGGTTTACATCAAAACAGCTTCCATAATCTTTTTTGAAAATAGTTAAATAGTTGTTTGTTTGACAATGGAAAGAGACAGCAGGACTGTTTAGTCAAAGGTAAGTGATTTTATGCTTCAGATACTGTTATGTTCCTAAAGGTTTCTTATGAAATACAAAAAGTAAGGCTACTGTGCACTAATGTTTATTCACAGCCATGCGCTAACAATTCGGCTATCTTGTAAAACAAACAATACAATCAATATAAAGGAGACACAATGAAACAAATTAAAATCATTTTTTTAATTTGAGACTATCCTGCAGCTTGACAATATATTACATTTTTGATTGCTAAGGATCAGTTTTGATACGAACTTTTAAAAAATAAAAATGCTGCACACTCTTGAAATTCTGTACAGATCAGAGGTGGTATTCAGCAGGTTCTGACAGTTCTGGAGAACCAGTAGTGGAAATTTTGAGTAGTTTGGAGAACTGGTTAATCCCACCTCTGACTGGCCCCGCCTCCATCTATTCTCTGCCTCCCAAGGCCCAGCTGATTGGCTGGGTCTCTTTTTGTTGCCCTGCGCAGGGGAAGAGCTGGAAAGCAGGTTAGTAGGGTAGGGAAAGAATGGGGATTTTACAGTATCCTTCCCGTGCTACGCTCACCAAGCCATGCCCACCAAGCCGATACATGCCCACCAAGCCAGGCCGACAGAACTGGTAGTAAAAATTTTTTGAATACCATCACTCAACTTGTCCTCAACTTACGACCATAGTGGAGCCCAAAATGCATGTTGTTAAATGAGAATTTTTTAAAGTGAGTTTTGCCGCATTTTATGACCTTTCTTGCTACATTTGTTAAGTGAATCACTGCAGTTGTTAAATTAGTAACATAGTTGTTAAGTGAATCTGGCTTCCCCACGGACTTTGCTTGTCAGAAGGTTGCAAGAGGTGATCCTATTTCCCCAAGACGCTGCAATTGTCAAGTGTCTGAATGTTGATTAGGTGACTGTAGAGATGCTGCAGCAGTCGTAAATGTGTAAAAAATCCCTTTTTTCAGTGCCGTTGTAACATTGAACTGCTATAAGTTGAGGACTGCCTGTACTAACAGCCTGATAGGTATATCTTATGCTGCACAGGTGTGTCTCTGGTGCCCTTAGAACAGAAAGATCTAGTTATATTCTGAGCACTTGCAGAAATCTTATTCCTCACAACTGGTTTTTATAGTTCGGAGTGCTGTTAATTCAAATTGGTCGGCCTTTCTTCTATCAGAGCACCAAAGCTTTACAATGGCTTTGTCTTCTGAAGTACATATTTGACACCACAGTGGTCTTCTGATTTTCCCAGGCTTGAAATGTTAATATCTTTTGCCACAGAAGCAGAACTACATATGTGCCATGGCCTTAGTAGTTAATATGGGACTAATAGGTATCTTTCCACTTATAGAAATGTCGTGATTTTTATTACAAAATGATAGCATTTGACATTGGATCATGTATCAGAATTAGCAGAACAGTAAAGAATATCAGCTACAGCCAGCAGAAAAACATACTAATTACTGACAAAGTAAGTATTTCCCCACACAAACATATTTTATACTCTAAAGCATTGAAAAGTCAAGATAGAACAGCTATATACTTACATTTTGATTACTTTCCCCTTATCTATAACTAATAAGTTTGAAAGATTTCACTGTATGGCCAAAGGAACAAATACTATCATAATAAAGTATAATTAAGCAATTCTATGTACTCTTAAGTTGTTTTAACAAGATTGTTGATGGTCTTAATTTCTGATTAATTAAAGGTTTTCAGTAATTTTTGTGAAGAATTCAATATTGTTCCCCAATTTTCTGCCTTGATAAATTTGTGTGTATGGCTTTACTTTTTCCCCATTTTATCCAATCAGTTCCCTCAATGAGCTGTATAAAGTTTGTGTAGCACTATTTATTTGCCAAAAAATGCATTTAAAAAATTAATAATATGTACCTCTCAAATAAATACATTTGCTCTACATTTGTACTACTAGAAAAGAAGCTTCTAAGTTTTGAAAGAAAGAAAATAGCTTTCACATATTTACAATACAAGATGTAATTCATAAACACTAGAAAAATTTCAGGAGAAGCATGACTTCATAATGACTACAAAGAGCAAATATTCAAGGCTTTTCATGTTATCTTTTCTATTCTGTGGCAACAGTACTAAATAACTTACAAGTGTGTATCAGTAAATGTTGTATGTGGTTTGGTGACTGTACTGAAGCTTTTGATAGTGCTCACAAGATCTTCATAATCCGCACACTAAAATAAAGCAATTTTAAGAAGGAAAGAGTTACAAAATAAAGACATTGAGATCTCATTCAGAGATTTTTAAAATCAAAAAGTTTTTATTGTTGGTTAAACCTATAATTTACTTAAGTAAAAGACCATCCTGACCGAGTGAAATTCACTGTTTGGCCCTCTATCAAAAATTTCAAAAAATATGCAAACCCTAAATGCAACTATTTTTTTTTCTTTTAATGACCCCGTAATCCCTTGCATGGAGTCGGGGAAACTGAATGGAGCTGAGTGTTTACTGGCTGGATGCCCTTCCTGTTGTCAATGCAGAGTTCGCAGCAGATATTTACTCATTGTGTCCAAACACAATCTGCCGCTACCTAGGATCGAACTCACAGCCTCCTGATTGTGAGGAGAGAGCGCGACCTCTAGGCCACTGCACCACTGATGAAGCTATGAACTCTTCAAATCAAAGATGGTTATTAAATTTGCATTTCCTAAATTTGCACTCTCTTTGTAGTTACCATTTGGGGCTTTACATCCCTGGCTGAGAAAACCACCGTATAGGATAGGGAATAATATTTATCACAAGGAAAGTGAAGGCCCAAAGCCTAATAGGCTTTGCAGATAAAAAGTTAAAATTAAATGGACTTAACATATATGCTACTTAATTTTATATAATACTAGGATAACATTGCTTCACTCTCAGTAACATTTTATTTATTTAAAAGATTTATATACCCATCTTAGAGCACAGCTCAACATGCATTGCTAAATGTGTATATGCTGCATATTTACTAATAGGAAAAGAGGCATTTTTCCACAGATTGATTTTCTAAGCCTATTATGGACTGCAGCTTGCTCAGTTTTGTGGTCACTGTGCTTGCCTGCCTTACAGTAGTAAAGTTCTGGCAAGCACTGGATGACTTAGCACTTTCACACAATTAATATTAATACCCACAAAGGCCATTGCTCTTGTTTTACCATTTGGTTACTCAGCATGATTGACCTTTATTACAAAGATTGTGTGATTATGGTATGTCAGGATTAGAAGCTAATCAGTTGTCTTTGTATATTGACTTACCAAATTGCTGTCATGGCCATGAATAATGGCATCCCAAACAGTATCTTGTACCGAGGACTTTTTCTCAGATGCTTCAATGAGCTGACTGACACTTCCATGCAGGGAATCTTGGGAAAACCTATCCTCTATCTGGCTCTGGCTTGGCCCCTGGAGGACGGAAACATTTGTACTGCTGTGCATACTCAAAGGCGATGCTGGTCCTGGAATTTTTGTATCTGACAGTCCCTAGGAATAGAAGCAAACAAACGATTGGTTTTTTAACTTTTAGGAACCAAGATATCCTCATATTGCATCTTCCCCTAAGAACTCTTCCGTATTGTAGATAAGGGTTGTCAAAAACTCAATTTCATTGAGGGGTGCATCAGGGTTGTGTTTGACCTTGAGGGCCGGGGTAGGCATGGCCAGAGTAGGTGTGGCCAGCTTGACGTCACTCATGTTGGGGATGTCTGGTGGCACGAGTGCTCTACTAGTGAAAATGGGGTCCCGAGTTCCGATTCCAGCCGAAATTGCCTGCCACCCTCTGCCAGTAAAAATGGAGCTCGGGGGGCTGTGTGTGGCCCTCCCAGGCTCTGTTTCCATCCATAAGCCCCCCTCCCCAGAGCTCCATTTTAGCTGGCAGAGGGTGGCAGGAGGTTGTCACGGCCGAAAATGGAGCCTGGGAGGGCCGCATGTGGACTCCCAAGCTCTTTTTTATCTGGCAGAGACCGTTGGCCGGTCATTTGCTGTTTCCAGGGCAGCCCTGAGAGCCAGATCTAAGCACCCCATGGGCCTTGAGTTTGATGCCCCTGTTGTAGACCATTCTTAATTGATGACAGTATAGGTAGGCTATATTCCAGCAGAATTTACAAATGCAATTATGTACATCAATGATCCCTTCAGCTATTGGTCCCCAAGGGAACCACAGTCTTCTGCAAGGTAGCTTCACAAGTTTGACTCAAGCATGCAACATACACACAACACTGGCACAATTGCCAATCCAGTCTAAGGAGCCTCTCTTGGCCTGCAACACTGACAGGTTTAACTATCTGCTCACAGATTACCAATGTGGTATCACTCTTGTTATTAACACTAGGTCGTGGCTTCCTTAAGTTGGACACACAGCAGTTTTATGAGTTGGCCAATGGAACATGCAGATACAGCAAACTCGGGCGGTAGAGGAGCAACACCCATTGATCATGTAAAGCTACAAGGAAGCCACTTTGGCCCAAAGAATGAAGTACAGGTAGTCTTCGACCTACAACAGCTCATTTAGTGACCAAAGTTATATCAGCACAGAAAAAAAGATGTCACAGTTATGAGCTTTGCAGCATCCTCATGATCATAATTCAGATGCTTGGCAACTGGTTCCTATTTATGACCATTGCTAGGTCTCAAGGTTACGTGTTCACCTTTTGCTACCTCTGATAAGCAAAGTCAATGGGGAAGCCAGATTCACTTAACAACCGTGCTAACTTATCAAGCGCAGTGATTCTCTCAATAACAAAAGCAGGAAAGGTTGTAAAATGGGGCAAAACTCACTTAACAAATGTCTCACTTAACAACAGAAATTTTGGGCTCAATTATGGTCATAAGTCGAGGACTACCTGTATGAGACACTTTCTATGTTAATCTTTTTTGAATTGCCATACATTTCATTGCCATACTAAGTAACTTATCAGTACAGAGAAATGTTGGTTTGTCAGTTGGCAGGAGCTGTTGATACAGTTTTAAGTCAGTTACACACAAGCTTGAATGGGAAAGAGATGGAGCAGAATATTCTGTAGTCAAAACCCAAGTTTCGGGTGCCTCTGGGAGATGAGTTGAGGATACTTTGTGTAAAATTTGAATTAATAAGGTTTAATAACTGTTAGCTGTAGTTACTAGTTGTTCAACATTTACAAAAACTTTCCTGATTCCAATTGCAGCATATGCTGTGGTTGAGAAGGTCTTTGATTTTATGAATAGTATTAAAAAGACCCTCAGCTAAACAAGGGTAAGAAAGAGCTCTGCTAGAGATTTTAATGTACCGGCAGATGCTATATTCTATTCTAGATTGAATATGCCAAATATCTAATCAGGAATGAGGTATTCATAACTTTGCTGATGGCTTTATGCTGATTTAAGATATGAGAGCTTACTTTGTTTAGTGAAGCGGGCCCTGCTGTCTTGCTTGATAGTTGCAATCTCATTACAATATAACAAGGATTGTAAAATCTATTTATGATGCCACTAAGGTAGCTTTGCTAGGAGTGAACTGGGATAAGATAGTGATTATACTGGACAAAACTCAGATGCATCAATCCATATGTCTTCAAGTTGGTGCCCTCTAGATATGAACTTCTAACTCTCATAAACTTTGGCTAACATCAAGTCCAATATATTTGGATGACACTAGGCTGGGGAAGGCTCCACTGTTGACACTATCAGTATACCAGTATCAATTTCTAGAACTTCTAAAGTACTATTTTATACTGTTTTGTCCAACTTCGTACTCACTTAACTGTCTTGCTTAGCAATGGAAATTTTGGACTCAACTGTGGTCATAGGCCGAGGACTACATGTATGTATACTTTACTTTTTCTTAAATTGGAAAAGTGCACGCCAAGATTCAGAAAAGGAGAATTAGGTTTTGGCTGTCAAATTAGGAACTGTGAATTAGGCATTACCCAAACACATTCCTTAACCACTTCTTGCCATTTGACCATTTTAATTATGATACGGCAGGAGATACTCTGGATAAAAAAGATTGCAAGTTACACTGTTGCCAAATGATATCCTCTTCACATCGGCTGTGATACACAGATACTAAGCTGATATTGCCTGGCTGCTCAATATATGATTTGTGCTTTAAAAGTTATATTACGAAAGCTGGCACATCAGCTTAATTTTCAGTGGTCAGAGGTAAGTGAACTTGATTGCTTTGCTCATTTATTACAGAACATAAAACCAAAGACTCTTCATTTGCTCAGCTGCTTTCTCCCCCTGCAGTCAAAATTACACTCAAAATCATATCAACCTAATTTCAGGTCCAAAATGCCACACAGCAACAAATGAAGCCCCACACAAGGTATGTTCATGCCAAAAGTTCAAGACTGTCAATGCTTGCAAACTTGTTCCACCCAACAGAGTTCACTACCTCCAAGTGCATTGTGTAGCTTTTGAGTGTGATGCTACAGGAGGACTCCGATGTATCGGCCACCCTCTCAAACTGAGATTTAAAAGGGAAAAAAGTGTTACTTGTTTAATCATTCAGGCGCTAAAACAAATCTTCTCTTGTAGGTTAGGCATCAACAATGGCTTATACTGAGTAATCCAGAAGGTCAGTGAGAAGGAGGCTCATAAAATTCCAATATCTTCACATAAAGTGATTTTGACCTACAGTGTCTTATTGCCCCATTATGCAGTCTCCCCCCCTGTACCTATCCACCCCCCAAAAAATAAGACATTAAAAAAAAGAAAAGCTGTTAGCAGTAAAGGCTTATGGTGACTGAAAGCCAATTTGTTGTTTTCACCGACAAATTTGCCTAGCATTTGTTTGGGACTGCAGTGGTCGTGTTCCGAATTCAACGGCAGTAATTGAGTTAGATGTAAAAGCAGCACTGACAATTATCAGCACTGTATGCTGGGTGACCTTGAAAAGGATAATAAAACTGAGCTACTTTTTCAATCTAATGGGGAGGGGGGCACAGAGAGTGAGAGAAAAAGAGTCTTCCTGGCAGTTAGAAAGGCATCTTTCTCAAATGTTTATGCAGACATATGCATTGCAAAGGCTTACCTTATCGGAGCTCAGTGATACTTGTGAAGATGAGATAACAGGGACTTGTAAAGAAGTAGCAATAGGAAGCTGGTGTTGTGAATTATCAGGGAAAGAGGGAAACATCATAGGTACAGGAAAGAAAGGGGGGAAAGTGAAGGCAGGTAGAGAAAGTGTGAAGTTAGAAGGCAGAACAAGAAGAGCACTTCAGATCTTCTAAAGCAGAAGACAAAACAACCACCACCACCACCACACCAGGAAAGCTGAGTGAAACACTTTTGAAATATAAATGTTTCCCAATTGTTGACTGCCTTAGAGGAGAAATTAGATAGCAGATTATGCTGAAAGTATATAGCAATTTTTGGCAAATAGATAGGCTTAGATGTACATCCACAAATGTCTGTGTCTAGCATATGTCAGTGTATAGTGATGGCCACATGACCATGGAAATGTGTTTGGACAATGCTGGCTTCCTTGGCTAAGAAATTAAGATGAGCATCGCCTACTAGAATTGGACACAACTGGAAAGGGGAAACTTTAACTTATATACTAGAGTAGAGTAGCTAAGTTTTGGGGGAAAATGTAGCTGGAAGGGAACACTAGTGGACAGATATAATAGAAATAGACATTTTGCACAAACCCAGTCCAAGAGAGTCTCTTCTGATATGGCCAAAACCTACTGGATAGCATCCTTACACACAGTTTAAAATGGAATTTTATCTTATACTGTCATTAGTGACAAATAGTAATTTGTTGCTGGTTTTTATAAAATTGGAGGAAGGAAGCAAAATGACTGGGATTAAAACCATAGGTGTTCGAGACAACCTTCTGATTCTGTTCTTCCCCTGTGTTATACACCAGCAATAGTTAAATGTCCGAGTTAGAGAAATTTCTTCTTCATTCTTGGTTAAAGTTTATTAGAGCATTGCCAATCTAGCACAAAGAGATTTAAAAAGTAAAAAAACCCTTTGTGTTTAGTTGAGTATAGCTTTAAGGGTTCCAAAATAATCATGCCTGGAGAATTGAAATACTGAGTTAGAAATAACCTGGTCTCATTATTACGCTCCCAAAAACCCATTTTATCATCATCATCAAGAGTATCATCCAATTTCTTAAGGGCTAAAGTAGATATTTTATTTTTAATGGTGGTTGTACTTTTAATTCAACTTAAATTGTCCTTTTAGTAGCATTAAATGCTTTTTTATGAAGAAAAGAGAGATAAAAATATTCAAATTAATAAACAAAAAGCATCCAGGTTTCTTCCTAAATTGTGTATTAATGTTCCTATCTCTTGAAGAGAACTTTGAAAATGAGCCAGGGCTGGATCTATAATGTGTCTGCCAATAAACACTTATCACTTGTTGAGCAAATACATTTTATGCCCGAAGAGGTAGAAGCTCTTCCTCAGGAGATTGATTGTCATAATATCTTGATTGTCATAATATTTCTGTTTATAACTTTCTTGCTTAAAACCCTAATTTTCTTCACCATGGCTATCATCCTTGAAAGTGGGAATAGAAGATCTGAGGAAAAACAAGCTCCAGCTTATGTATGCCTCTATAAAAGGCATACATAAAAGGTAAAAATTTATCCTTTTTAGATGTGTCATCTATTTTTTCGCTGAGGGAGCCAGCGTTGTCCATTTCCATCATCATATGGCCAGCATGACTCTATACCAAGACACACAAAATGCTATTATCTTCCCAAACTCAATGTCTTTAATTGCTGAGCTGTCGCCAACCCCCAACTCCTTATGCCTCTTTACATTGGACATCTTATACCACTGTATGGAGATGTATTCGTTATGTATTACTTGTGACTTTTTACATACCTTTCAAAACAAACTCTACAACATTTGGTGCTGCTGATACTATTGACCTCACCCCTTTCCTAAGAGATCTGTAGGGGGTGTGCATAAGCGCACCAACGTGCCTACTGTCCTTGTCCTATTGTTTCTTTTATTTTTCTTATATTTATCCATGTATTCATAACTGTGTTTTTATTTATACCTATTATCTTGTAAGCAATTGACAAACCAAATAAAATAAATAAAATAAATAAATATCTAGTTTCATTATATGCAACAAGTCATAAAGTTAATAAGCAAAGAAGCCTGTTTCCAAAGTTCAGATTTTTCTTTTCTTTAGAAACCTCAGTAAAACTGTTCAAAGAAATCTTAAATCAGCCTTTAAGATCACATCTGAGTCATCATTACTGAATATTACTGAAAGGAGCAAGTCCAAGCTACTTGGGACTATTCTTGGAATGCAAGTATTTCCCTTTAAGACATCCATTTGGGCCCCAAACTTAGAAATGCTTCAGGAGTAAGTAATTTTAACTGTCTACTGGCAAGCCCTAGATGTTTAAATAATAATGATCGACTTGCTAAACTCCTTAAAATGCTTTTAATATAGACACAAGCTGTGAAAATGAATCATTTACCTGCACATTGCATTTCCTCACCTCACATTTTAAGGGAAACACATAATTAAGTTGTGCCTTCTGGTGCATTATGGCAAGAGAGAGGGCAACACAGATCATCTATTTCTGGCAGCATAATACTTTAAGCATGTGTTTTTAGCCTGCTCAGTTGCTGGAATAAAAGGACTTAAAAAGGTTTAACTTGGACAGCCTTATTCTTTCTTTGGTAAATAAAGCACCTTTTTATTTCTGCTTTGCTGTGGAAGTGATACGTGGGAAATGATTCCACAGTCATAATGGGGTTTAAGAGCCACTGCTATATTAGTAGCAGTAATTTGCCTTAGTTGTTGTCTTTCAAAGGGTATTTTTGATGTTTTTCAAATATGGGCTTGATTTATACGGTGTTGGTTTTATATAATGGCTATGGGTGCATCTATGTTGGCCCACAAATCCTGCCTCAACTCTAGTACAGGGCACCTCTTCACAGGAAATCCATTTGCAAAACATAGGCAGAACACCATACCATGTGAGTTTCTCCTTGTGAATAGACATTCATTGGTGACATTCTCTTTTGAACTGAGACTAAAGGAGGCCTTTCCCGTGAATACAGCTGCTTGTTTATTTTTCTCTGTAGAATTAGAGACAGGAAAATTGCTAGAAGAATCAAGGCAAGGATCGCCATTAGGATCACAAACCACAACTCTGTGTAGAACATTGCTTGCTTTGTGTTGCCTTTGTTATTTTCTCCTGGAGTTGTCAAGACAGGACCTATGGAATCCAGAAAAAGAATTGGTAGCAAGCAAGGGATGAATGGGGGGGGGAGGAGAGAGAAAGAAAGAGGGGGGGGGGGGAGAGAGAGGGAGAAAGAGAGAGAGAGAAGCAGGAGGAAATTAACATTTTATTTAAGAAAGAAAATATGTGATTCAGTTGTTCTCTGTTAGTTTTGTAATCTGGGGATACTTAGAATCATAGAATGACAGAGTTGGAAGGGACCTTGGAGGTCATCTAGTCCAACTCCCTTGCTCGAGCAGTAGAGTCTGTTCCAAAGATTAGCCTTTGCCTAGGATCAAACTCACAGCCTCTCGATTGTGAGGCAAGAGCTCCACCTCTAGCCATCTCTTTATCCCTTCTCATTTTCAAGGTGCTGCAGTGCTTAATTTTTGAATGGTCAGCAATGAAAAGTACTTTTCACCTTGCAGACTGTTTTAGTGTTGGTGTTGTTTTCAATGGGAACCAGCCTCTACACTAGGAAGAAGAGGACAGACTGTGTGTGTGCTGAAATTAAGACAGATGTATCACAATAATCTTGCACAGTGGAAATTGGGTGATGATTTTATGCTTTTAGAACTAGGCATGTTGTAAAAAGCTTTCCTGTGCTCCTGCCAAAGAAATTAGAGTGACAATGCCCACTGCAGTTCTTATGATGGTATTTAAAAAAATAAAAATAAAACAAGAATGCTTGGGAATGAATAAGTGGGGAAAGATTTACAAAGGATTTCATTGTTCTTGTTTTTCAGCAAAGAATATGTATTTGCAAACATATCTGGATAAATGTCAGACAATTTGATAATGCAAGCCTGAAGCAATAGCTTGTGAATTTTGAAGGAATATATGTATCAGTGAAATAATAGCATGGAAGCATGCCAAGGCGGTAAACCAGCTAAGCCACTCACTCACCAAATGAATAAATAAATGAATGCTAATCTGGCTTTTCCCTTTTCACTAATTGTCTCCTCTATTGTTTTCAGCTTAAGCTAATGTCTTAGCTGTGTGCACACTTCATTTTTGCAGACAAGACAGCAATGATGTTAACGCATAAACATTTTTGTATTATAAATAACAGCTACCCGGAAGCAGGAACAGAGATGTATCAAAAAGAGTTTGACACTTGCTCACTCACTCTGTCATGGCCAAAAAAGGCTACTTCTGCAAAGTTTGCTAGTTGCATTCAAATGGAAATTTCCCTTCAAATGCAAATAGCAGCCTTAGATTGGTAATTTTTGTCAAACTGAGGGTATAAAATTAAAAGTTAGGAAATTACACAACAACAACAATAATAATGTTCCCATTTATTTGTACTGATCCAGTTAACATCATGTTGAATTTGATTTGTGTATAGCAAATATTAAAACTGAAGAGAACTGTTAGTATAAGAGGATATAATTGAGATATATGTTCTTGATTCATATTTTTATGGTCTTATGCCTGATAAAAAGAACTATATTATTAAAGAACCAAAGCACTAAAGATATTTTGTGTATTTATAATGAATAGATGCAATTAAGAGAATAAAACATTCGATGGATTAAGCTAATAATTATAACACAACTGCCAGACACAATGATGAGCAAGATTTTAAAGTAGTTACCAAATCCAGTAGCAGCATTGTACTTGATTACTGGTGTTACAGCACTCCCTTCATCAGTGATGCAAGTCACCTGAAATAAATAAACTGAAAAGAAATGAAGAATTAAAAATATGAACATTATATGCACCTTTTATATTATCATTTCATTTGCATGTCTATATAGAAGCATAATATGCATTGATATTCTCTCTCCATAGTTTGAAAGTTTGCAAATAATAGTTCTATCCTTTAATAGGATGCAAAAGTTCAGGTAGCTACAAGACAGTAGCAAAGATTTTTTCCTGTTTTTTGTAGGTCACTGAGTTTTTACCTGGGTTTTTGTAGCCCAGAACTGGAAATGATCCTAAAACCTGTAGCCCAGTAGTATGCCACCAAATACCAATAAAATATATTTATTTGGTAGGTCATTTAAATGAATCCCCATATATAAAAAGGGAAGAAGCAACAATCAGCAATGACTATTGGTTCTTCTAATTGCTATTCTCATGCTAAAGTTTAGCAAAACCAGAGAACTACTGAAGCTCCTTGAGCCTTAACGTTTTTTTTTTCTACTTTAATCACTAACTTAAAAATCAATATAAGCATGGGAGATGATAATCAGAATCTGTTCTGGACTATTCTTTTATTACAGTAGTATTTCATCAGATTGTTTTATTTTTTTCCATCCAGTCTTCTTTCTTACAAAGTGCACAAGCTCAAAAGCTAGATGTAGGTATCCAAGAATATCAAAAATGATGACTAGTACATGTTTAGCCAAAGGCTAAGTTCGGTGAGGTGGAGAGGAAAAAAAAGTTCTGATTCTCCTTTCACACACCTATTCCGAAGCAGTGATAATTTGATTCTTGCATTGGCAACTTCAAGATGGAATTGTCAACTGATGTAAGTGGGACTGCTCTTATGATTGACCTGGAAGCTACAAATAGCATGAAATCAAATAGGTAGTGCAGCCTGGAGTTTCTTTTGATTGAGTATATTGAGTAAATCACTTTGGTATTCACTGTCAGTGAACATGTAGATTTTTTAAAAGATGATCTGTCCCTAACCAGATCTCCCTTGTATTTATTAGATTTATGAAAGCCACTAAATTAGATTCAGTATTTTAATGTTGGCAGACAAAACCCCAAAACAATTACCTAAACCAACATTTTAAATTAGAGCAACTTCATAGATATGAGCAACCATATATATGACTCTGTGGTTTCTTCCCCAACCCACACAAATTTTAACCTTAGACTGTCTACTATTGACCTCACCCCTCTTCCTAAGAGGCCTGTAGGGGGCATGCATAAGTGCACCAATCGTGCCTACCGTCCCTGTCCTATTGTTTTTTATTTTTCTTATAAGTATCTATCTCATGTATTCAAAACTATATTTATTCTTATACCTGTATCTTTATTTGACAAATCAAATAAATACTAAATACTAAAATATATAAATGATCTTTAGAGATGGTCAGATTTTCCGTGTTGTATTTTGCTGTTCCATGCTGATGCACAGATAAACCGTCTTGACAACCATCAGTTGTCCTATGGAATAAGCTCTTCTTTATGGTATGTCAATTTTATGTATTTAAGGCATCTCTTGAATCTTTACAGTGGTGCTCTCTACCCATTAATTTCCTCTAACATTCCATTTCCGTTCTGACTGATGAACTGATAGCCAATCTTGTTTGTTCATGAGCTCAAGGTAGTGAACATTGTGCTTCTTTATTTTACTTTCTCTTATTTTTCCTTACTATAAAACCCTGTGAGGTAGCTTGTGAAGTCACCCATAGTGTGCATCCATGGTTAAGGTTTTCCCCACTCCTAGACCAATATCTATGTTGTTCTCTTAAGATTTGGTTGGCACTGCCCATTCTGTGATTGTGAAATTGAAATTAAAAAAAAACCCCTCAATCAAAGGGCTAAGGAACTCAGTGTTAAGATATTGAGAAACACTTTTGGAAGTTGCTTTATTCAAAAATTGATTGCAAACTGCCTTACTGATAATCTGATTGAGTTATGTAAGAGTAAGTAATTTAACAAGAGTTGTGCACATAGGATACATTGCCCTAAAACGCAAGATTAAAAGATGAATATTCAGGATTACTTTTGTCAGATGTCCTTGGCAAATACAGTCTGGTATCAAAGCCACTGTAGATGCGTTGCCCTCCTTCCATTAGCACATATTCCTTCAGAAGCCCATTCAGTAGGAAGGTGTGACTCCAATCCAGAAAGATGGTGGATAAATTTCCGATTATGATAAATGGAGATTTGTATAGAGGGACTGGCAAGAAAAAGAGAAGCATTAAGACAGTAAATACATTGATATCCAAATCATTAGCCACTGTTCTATGAATGTTTACATCTATTATTGTTCAGTTAGTAGTTTCAAGCAATGGATGATTATCAATTAAAATAAAAATGTTTCCAATGAAATAAACAAAATTCATGAGTGTTCCCATTCCAGACTGCTGTGTGTTCTTTTTTGGGTGATGATGGTATAGAAAAACAAAAGGCTTAGCAATAGTATGAAAAAAAATATTACTGAGGCTAAGCAATGCTATTAAAAACAATTATCAAACTAAATCTCTCCCATTAAATTGATACTGCAACATAAAGCGTTTTAGTTGACTTCTTAATCACAGGAATTCTATCTACTTTTATTTGTGTTGCTTTACCTTTGTCCCTATCTACTTCTACTTTGTTTACCACCCGATAGTTTGTCCCAGTGTTTCTCAATCACAAAGTTATGTAGACTTCAATTCCCAGAATTTTGGGAATTCCCAAAGGAAGAGAAACTCTTCTATCCATTTTTATTCCATGGTTGCTGTTGTTTCTTTGTTTTTTTGGAACTCTTCAACTCCTCCACCTGCAATTTCCACTCATCGTCATTCTTATGGTCCTGGAAATGTATCTTGTCTTCTTCTACTTCTTGAAGTCTGCAGGTGCGGTTTGGTGTTGAGTTTCATTCACATTTGGTGGCTGTTCCTCAGAGGCATCATTCAATACTTCAGCCTGTATAATTATCCACCTTGCCTACCTCTGATGTCTTTATTGAGTTTCAGGGTTGCAGGACTCAGTTACAACATCACGGACATTATTGTGGCTGTTGGCATGACTGCACTTTCTAACTGCTCTCACTGACCCGGTCCTTGATTGTCAGTTGTTCTCACCTGAAACTGCTGTTGCTTCAGTTCCAGTGCATTCAGTTCTTTTGGGTCTGCTGTCTTCCTACCTACTTTCCTACCTACATTCTTGTTCTGTCCTGTTTCTTCCTTTTTTTCCACCATTGCTACACTTCCTCGTTTTAAAAAAAATAGCCAGCACTCCAAATAAGGCATAGGCAAAGGAAGGAGAGCAGTGTAATATGTCCTTTCTCTCACATTACTCCTCAAGTTTCCCCCTCCCTCAAATCATTAAAATATATAACAAACACTTTGATAAGAGTAAACTAATTGAATCTGAAAAGGATCTAACTTTGACTACAGTTGCAATAACCGGGACTATTACATAAATGTGACAGGAAAGTAAAATAGTTAATTTTAATAGTAATAAATACATATTTTCATAATTAATATAAATATTTGTAAAACATCATAATATTGATGGTCTTTCTACTCTCATCAAGCTGTCTATACTTCTTAGGAAATACATTTTCCTACATTTTTACAATGCTTTCCTCTTAAATTGTTTATTTCAAAAGTAAATGAGCTTAACAATATTACAAATACGATATGTTGTACCAATCACTTAATCAATTGTCTAATTCATCACTGCACAAGCAAAAAGCATGCAAAAGGAAAATAAGAATTTTCCCTTGAGTTTGTGCTAAACAAAAAAGAAAAAGGATCAGGATGTGACCTTGTTTTTTAAATATGTTCAGAATCCGCCAAAGAAAGCAAAAAAAAAAAAAAAATTAGACCATCGGAGCATCTTGCAACAAAATCTTTAATTATTATTGGAAGAGACTTTTATTGGATGAAGTTTAACACTGAATAAAATTATAGGAGATTGGCTAAAAAGAAACTCAGTTGGGTAATTTAATCCTATTTCAGCTGCTTTTATTTAATTTCATTTCTAACATTGGGAAAATATGCTCCATCAACAGTAAAGTCTTCTGATTTTACAATCACTTAACATACCACAAAAGCCGCACAGTCTTGAAACTACATAAACAGCTAAAGGTTTTGGCAAATTTGCTTAATGTTTCAGTTTCACATTGTTACTCACTTTTAATTTTTGCAAGGAGCAAAAGAATCTGTTTAACTATAAACTACAGAAATAGTAAGACTGAATTATGAAAACTTATAAATTGGGAATTTTCAGATATCTCTCCATGTTTTAAAAACCTACCAAATAGGAAAAAAGTAATGGTATTTTTAAAAACTCAGTTTTAAAATTCCTATTAAAAGAAAAACAGATGAAGATTTTTGCTTGCTACTGTATATAGGGTACCAGTTACATAACATCTTTTACCATCCTAAGAATAACAGGTTCAGCCCTTAATAGTTGTGATAGGAAACAAAGCACTCCTAAAAAAGATGGAAATCATATGCAAATCCTTATTTTTGTCTGTAGAAACTCACCCTCTTTTTCAGTAGTAAAAGTAATCCATTCTGAAGTGGTGCTTCCAACTGAATTGTAGGATACCACTCTCAGTTTGTAGCTTGTATAAGGCTGAAGTTCACTCACACTGGAATGCCGGTTATTTCCTTTATATCTCACCTCAATAGGTCCAGGCTTACAAACTCTTTCTATAGGAAGTAACCAAGGAAGACAGGATGTGTACATGTGGAGTTCATATCTATAAGAAAAGAAATCAGCATTAATAATAGGCACATCACTCGGGTTTACATATTACTTTCAACTGTAATATGGCTTGTTTCTGGCTTAGTTGATGAGCAATCCATTCACATTATGGTGTCTATGAACCAAGGTAATTTAGCTTACTAAATTATCAAATGATTTATGGTTTGCATAGCAAATCATAGCTAAACAAACCGTAAATTATCACAATATGTGAAGTCAATCCTTTCTGGCAAATGTGAGTTTATCCTTCCCAATACCAAATGCTGATTAAACTGAAAGGCTGATATCCAACTTAATTGCTTTAAAGTTCTAGATATCCCATTCATTTTACTTATGTGCCTATGCATGATTTTTATAGGAAAATGATATGTCATTATTTCAGTGAAACAGTGGAGTAATATTTTCAATAATTAGAAATGAATAAAGATAATTCCCATTGCCTAGATTTAACAGTTGTATTTTCAGAATCTGTATCAAATTGTAATTCATACTATATTTCAAAAGTCTAGATATAAACACATTAGACATTTAGATATTTTCCCCAAATTATGTAAAAATAAGATCTAATTTAACCTGTGTACTTTTAAGGCACTGGTTTTAATTCATGATTTGCCTTTGAAACTTTTACAATTATGAAGTGACTGAAGAAGGGAAGAATCTATTATGATGTGGGCTCACTGATAAATCTATATATAAATAGCAGCAAGTTACTGTTATTCTTCTATATATTTATTGGCAAAAATGATCTCAATTCAATAAACATGGCTATCTGCAAAAAACCTGATGAATGGCTGAAAACTGACTAGCTAGTTAGTGTTGGGTTAAGGAACTTAATACAGTTAAACACAGGGGATCAGCATTTTGAACATATAGCCAGTTTGTCTAGGGGTCACTGCACCAAGCTAGAATCCAGGAATCTGATTTCTATTCTCATCTTAGCCATGAAAGCCAGCTGGGTGACTTTGGGCCAGTCACTCTCTTTCAGCCCAACCGAATTTACAGGATGGTTGTTGTGGGAAATTAGAAGGAAGAGGAGTATAAGGTATGTTCACCACCTTGAGTTATTTATAAAATAATGAAGGTGGAGTAAAACATATCTAAACAAATTGATGTACCCATTTTTGTAGTACTAAAAAGACTATTACATATATTATCAGATTAATTTTGTACATCAAAACTATTTCATGAGTAAGTAAAATGCAGTGAAGGAAAGGGGTTATACACAAATACACAACTCTCTTGGTGAAGGAAGAGAAAAAAAGGCACAGAAAAAAATTAGAGAAATGAGAGAAAGGTTAGTGAGCATTATTAAAGCAATAGGTAGGTGTGAGTTCCCAACCATAGATTTTATCTGATTATATCTGAGCAGTTACCTCGTCACAATGCCATTGGGTTCCTGAGGAGCATCCCACAGAAAAGAAGCATTTCTTGAAGTCAGGCTCTGTATATGGGGAGAAGGCTGCTGGCTGGGTGGAGCTGGCTGAGTGGTGATTTGAGCCATTGGTCCCTGACTGCAGCAGTTGAAGCATGTGCAAACTTCAACCCCAATAGAATAAGTGGTAAAAGGTTTAAGTCCATGGATTGTCTGCTGGGCAGTAGTTCCTTCTGAGAGCTGAAAATGATAGAACAAAAGCAGAAGTAGGCACTGACATGCAAGTAGTCTATGTACTGCACAATGCTCAGCTGGACAAAACTATATATTTGTTCATTTGGCTTTTATCCTGCCTTTGCTTTACAATTCAAAAAAGGTATATTTGATGTTTTCTCTTCCTATTTTTTCAACAACAATAATAACAATTTTACAAAGTAGGTTGGGCTATGAGACTGGCTCAAAGTCATTAGGCCAGCTTTCTTGCCAAGCAGAAGGCCAAAACTCATATCCTCCTGAGTTCTAGTCCAACACTCTAACCACAAAACGCTGCTGGCTGGCTGATCTAATCTAGATAGTTTTAGACCAGGCATGTAGCTTCCTAAGAAGCAATGACTAAGCCAATCCCTGAACAGTAATACCCAAACTGATAGACATGGTAATCAATAGTACTTCCACTCTTTTTCATCCCCCAAACTGCATATATTTTGACAAATCCTATAATCCTTTCCTCACCAGTGCCCTTTTTGAGTGAAAAGTTGATTTATTTTTTAAATTTCACATCAGTAATAATTAAAATCTAGACTGAGATATGCCATACCTTTATTCTATGCAATCAAGAGGAATATTGAGGACAATCCTATAATAATAGTAACTGGCATCACCACAAATTTCATCAACTCAAAAGATTAATCAACTCAAAAGATTAATACTTACCATGTTCTCCTTTCCTTTGGTGCTATTGGAGAAGAACCTGTAGAGGGTGATTATTCCATTTGGCTTTAGAGGAGGACGGATGTTGACTACAGCAGAAGTAGAAGCTACTGTTTCAAACAAAGGAGCAGGTAGTCCTTGAGGAGGGGCTGGGCCAGTCTTACCTTTTGTCCAATTGCTAGCAGTTTGGCCAACAGAATTAACTGACCAAACCTGAAAAAACAAGAATTCATAATAATCCTAATACATCATTCCAGAGAAAAATCCATATTATCATTTCTGCTTTTATTTATACTGCCTAGACTCCATCTATGCTGCCCAGAACCCCTCTATGAGAAGGATGGGTGATTAAGAATAACAATAGCAATAGCACTTAGACTTAGATACCACTTCACAGTGCTTGTTCAGGCTTCATCAAACATAATTAAACACAAGCTTGTTTTAAAAGCAAAACCTATTTTATTGCAACACTGGGAATTACTTCCATTCACAGCCAGAACTAAACTTAAACAGTTTCCCAAGATAAGCACACACCTGCCAGTGCTGTGGAATGCTGCCAAAAACAGAAGTATCCAAATTAATTATAACAGAAACCAACAGAAGTACCAGAAAAAAACTGATCAGAATACACAGAGCTTCAAAGAGGACTCAGAATTTATTGAACTACTTTGCTTTCTGCAAAGCTTTTGTCATTAAGGCCTGACTTTTATCCCTTATGGGAGGGACAATCACCTCTCAGCCTTACTCCCAAGTCGCCCCTTCTGCTTCAGCTGCTCTCACCTTCTAGCACCTCTGTGCACATGCACACTGGGAACAGGCTCCCCTGGATCCTCTGCTTCACTGCTGTCAGATTCTGAAGGCTCTCAAGGCAGCACCCCACTCCCAGATGGTCCTGGCCCCATCCCTGCATCAGACGCAGGACCCTCGTCCAAGTCGTCTCCAGACTCCCTGACTGGTTCCCTTTCTTCCTCACTGTCCGATACCACTGCCGTCTGCACCGGCTGCCGGCGAACCACAACAGACCTCTCTAAGTGATTTACAGAGTCAGCATATTGCCCCCAACAATCTGGGTCTTTGCTTTATCGACCTTGGAAGGATGGAAGGCTGAGTCAACTGTGAGGCAGTGAAACCTGAACTGCCAAACTGCTGGCAGCCATTGATCAGCAGAAGTAATCTGCAGTACTGCATTCTAAACATTGTGCCACCATGGCTCTTTTGATATATAAACAATAAATAACAGAAAATGCTTCAGAACAAACTGAATTTGGGAAATGTTTTTGTAGTCTGCATCCATATTTATTTGACTATCATGTTTTCCTGAAAATAAGACCCAACCAGAAAATAAGACCCAACTAGCATGATTTTTCAGGATGCTCGTAATATTCCCCAAATAAGCCTCAGTTAAGATCATCAGCCAGAGGGATGGATTTAGTACCACATTTTCCCCCAAATAAGACCTAACTGGGAAATAAGCCCTAATGCATCTTTTAAAGCAAAAATTAATATAAGACCCAGACTTATTTTTGGGGAAACATGGTAATTTATGTATTGTCTTTTCATCTCTAGTAAACTCTCAAGGTGGCTAGAATGAGACAATTATCTTGCCTTGAAATGTAATTTCAGATGGCATATCTGTGATTTTATATTTTCACTGTAAACTAATGGTTTGGTAGCCAATGGACTAGGAAATTAAATAAAACAAAAACAAAAGTAAGTTTATTTAAGAACTGTACAATTTTAAAGGATCATCATACATGTCAGCATTTCATTAAGATTTCACATGAACAACTTTCAGGACTGACATTCATCTGAGTAAATGTTACCGCAGTATGCTTGACATTATCATAGAATCATAGAGTTAGAGCAGGGGTTACAGCCATGGACTGGATGCATCATGCACTGGCCTTGCTGACTCCTGGTTTAGCAAGGGGGGGGGAGTTATGTTATGTCACGTGACAACACCGTGATGATGTGAGTTTGACATCCCTGAGTTAGAGGATTGAAAGAACCTTGAAGGTTTTCTATTCCAGCTTCTCTCCAGTGCAGGAATTCTCATACTATTCTTAACAAATGGCTTTTCAGTCTTTTTCTGATATCCTCAAATTTTGTAGCATTCACAAAAGCCTAAGAAGGCAGGCTGTGAGAGACTTAACAGCTCTCACAATCATCTAGTCCAACAATCTCTCATGTTCATTCAATGTTCATTTAACTTACTGCTGAATTATTTAATGTTACACTGAGTAGCATAGAAAGGTTATCACATAGAAGTGCAGTAAACCTTCTAGCATTCTTGATCATTTGCATGAGGTCAGTCAGCTCAAGTCAAAACCCTCCTTTAGTAGCATAACATATTCAGTCCATGTGCCTGCAGTAGTAAAAAATCAATGGAGATCCCTTCTTCAAGGACATGACCTATAAAAGGGGTGCATGCTTTCCTGTGGGATAGGGAAAAAATTGCATCTATATTTTTATAGACACAAAATAAGGGATGCTTTGATACAAACTTGGGGAGAGATAAAGAAAAAACTATTTGAAAATCCCAAGTTGGCTATCCACCATAGAAGCATTGATCCACCCCAATACAGTGGATGTTAATAAAATGGCCAGGTACAAGGAAATCCTAGACAATCAAGGGAAATTAAAAAGTAGACAGGAATTGAAGGAGCAGGGAATATCTATAGATTGGTGGCCTTGCCTGCAACTACAATCCAGATATAAAAAAGACAGTGAGGAATTAGGAATAGACAGCAAGCCACAAAAACTAGATAAACTTTTGACTGGTCTAGATGAAAAACTGTTATCAAAGATATATAAATATTTATTAGAGCAGAAGAGATTGTGAAGGGATCGATGATAGCATGGGCCAAAAATTTCGGATATAGTATTGACCTAGAGGAGTAGGGAAAAAATTGGAATATGAACTACAAGATAACAAAATCGATGGCTTATAAAGAAAACCAACATGAAATGTTTTATCACTGACATTTGATGGTCACAAGATTGGCCAAGATTTATCCAAATGCAAATCCAAACTGCTGGAAATGCAGACAAAAAAATGGTACCTTCTATCATACATGGTGGTTATGCTCTGAAATGAAAAAATATTGGAAGAAAATACAAACGTGGTTACAGGAATTAATTGGAAGCCAAATAGATTTTGTCCTGGAATTATTTCTTTTAGGGATAATGAAGAGGAAATACAACAGAAAGATAAAGTATTTGGTGTTACCAGAGGTAGTATTCAGCAGGTTCTGACCAGTTCTGGAGAACCAGTAGCGGAAATTTTGAGAAGTTCGGAGAACCGGCAAATACCACCTCCGACTGGAAATTTTACAGTATCCTTCCCCTGCCATGCCCACCAAGCCACACCCACAGAACTGGTAGTAAAAAAACTTGAATCCCACCACTGGATGTTACGTGTATTAACAGCAGCAAAGTTAGCCTATGCTCAATGTTAGAAGAGATATTGCAACCATCCGAAGGCTTAGTAATTAAAAAAATGTATGTGTGCGGAAATGGATAAATTGATCACTGAATTAAAAGGAAAAGTAGACTCTGAATACTATGCAATACGGGAAAAATGGTACCATTGGATAGACAATAGAAATAAGAAAATAAAGTGTATACAATAAATGTAGTAAGTATAGAAATAGAATATATAGATTGTATTGGACATGATATGTACATGTATAAAAAATGTCATAGTTCTGTTTATTAAGTGATTGAGATGTGTAAAAGAAAAAAAAATCAAATAAGGCATTTCTAAAAAAAAAATCAATGGAGATCATAAGAGAGCTAGAACTCAGTTGTATGTGAAATGTTAAGGACACTGCACCCATTCATCAAACTTATCTATGTTATTAACATGTAAATATAATAAACATATAAATAATATGTATTAAAAGCATGAATATTTGTCTGAACTTAGCAAATCAATATATCCAGCCTACTCTTAGTACTTTGTTTATTCATCTTCAGCTGATTATACTGAATATGTAATAAGCTGATAATATTGCTAAGCTGATAATAAAGCAACAATTATATTGCAAAAGATACAATATTTACTAAGGTTTTGCAAATATTTTATGATATTATCTTAATCAATGCACATAGGAAGGATTCCAAGATGTAATAGCTAAGAAAGTGACTAGTTCAAAGCTCTTCTTTGGAGATGGCTTTTTTTTGTCAGCTTCACAAAACCAGGGTGATCTGCACACTATATGAAACTCAGCAGTTATTAAACAAGACCTGCAACAAATCTGCATGAAAATTAAATTTTACTTTCATCAAGGAGAGAATAAACATATGGGAGGATGTTTAATCTTATTTATCAAAGACCATTTGTATAATTAAACACGAATACCATAAAAGGTTGACTGAGGTCATGATTTGCATGAGTAACTAATTTGTAGAATGTCAGGTGCAATAGATGGAATAGATGGATGTGTGAATATATAGGGTTAAATTAGACTCAATAATAGTGAAACACACAGAGATCAATCAGAATGATAGATCTAAATGGCAATACAAGGGGACTGTCTCTGTGATTTTTAGTATTAAGTATTCCTTAGTAAGCTTTCATGTCGAGCAGTTCTAACTGTACTAAAACTAGCTCTTATGCTATCTTCTAATATTCTGCTATAACATTTGAATTTATTCCAAGTTGCAAAGAAAGCCAAAGGTCCTAAATACTTTCATAAATGAAGAGTTTTAACTATATAATGGACCTTGTTACTATGGACCTAGCTTCAACTGCAACCAAGAAGCCACTAGTAGATTGTTGGTACTAGAAGATTCAAGAAAAGAAACCAATTTCAAAGGCCTCAGCTATGCAACTGATGACTGAAGACATATTTAAAGTATTCGGCTGAAGTCATAAGACTAATCATTGCAAGAAGATGGGCATCTAATGAATTGTTTTAAATTTCAGGGATCATACTGTTTCTTTGGAATTGTTGACTCTTAAGTAAATTGTATGACTCATACAGTATGTTTGTACACTGCAACTGAAAGTAAAGAGTACAAGAAAATTAATTATAACTTGGAAGGAGGAGGAGGAGGAATAATAATGGCAAAAGACAGCTTTCCTTTGAACAGTTTACATTCTAAGATGATATATTTAATTCCATAAATCAAACATCTGTCTATCCCAGCTCCTTGGGAAGAACTTGATAGGTGGATTAAAAATGTCAAATCCAGTCTAAACATCTGGC